GCACACCTTATCCCTATACAAGTCTCCAAGCAAGTGCTGGGCCGTAGTTTATACTGTGTTGGATGTGTAAGTTTCGATGAGACCTTCTGTGATGTAGTTTGCTTTGTGGACTCGGTCACATGAGATGTCTCTGTTGTGTGAGAGCTCTCGTTCTCCAGCTCAATACGTATGCGAAGACTGCCAGGAACATTAGAGACATTAAAGGAATGTGCTAGTAGTACAAGGGCTAAATTGGACAATGGAGGTGCAGCAGTGAAAGATAGTGGAGAGTTGAATCCGGTTTTAGTTTACGCTCGCTGAAATTTAGCCCATATCATACCGCCACATTAAGAAACTGATGAAACTTAAGCAGTCACACACAATTCTGGCAAATATGACTAAATGCAGTATGTTCCTAGTGTCTTAGTTTTTAAAGATCTTTTCCTTTTGGTAACAAAACTAGATTGACTCGTACAAGTGAGATTGCTTACTGCACGCGTCGGCATCTTTGGTCTTGCCACAGAGGGTGGCAAACGGAGAGAGAAGGACGGTTGATAATGATATCATGCTCATGAAGTATGGTTGCTGCTCTGTCGCCTTTTTGGTCGCTCTCTTTCCTTCTTGATCGACCTATCGTCCAGAGAAAAGCTCAGGTGTATCTGGAATGGACACACACAGGCACAGAAAACGCAGAAGCGTGGCACCACCATCACGTGCAGGTGCTTTCAAAAATTTCCCAGCAGTGTCTGACTTTTCAGTATAAACTCACAAGAGTGGCGAAAGTATTGCAGGAGTTTGAAGTACATCGAGACATCAGCTGCACTTACCTAAACACGTACGACAAACAGCACACACACCACACACATTGTCGCACGTTGGAAGAATGTAGTACTGGTAACACTGCGAAAACAGTCCGACTAAGATAATAGTCTCTTTCTGCAGACCATTTTCCATAAATGCTGATACTGCCTGCATTACAGAAGCAAACGTTAGCTCCGCTTTCCCTGCAATTTCATAGAGGAGGGGATCTGAGAACCTGATACTGCGTGAGCTGTATGACATCATAATCATCCGTAAATGCACTCACGAGCTGCAAGCTTTGGACTCCCTGAAGGCAATATTTGCATACTCCACTCCACTCCGACGAATCTGTGCCATTGGAACGAAAAGTGAAGACACACTTCACAAACAACAACACCTCCCAGCGGGCTCTCTAGGTAGATAATGACCATAACAAAGACAATCTGTGTACCACCACTAAATACCCCATATTAACTTTTTAAAGACACCAATGCTGACAGTATAGAGTACCCACAATTATTAGGGCTCTATATGCGGAGAGTTGCTCTTGGGCGGGTTGTTCCATTATTAAGGGTGTACTAATATACCATTAGAGATGGATTCCACCACTATATTATTTTTTTTTTTCTTTTTTTTGGAAGGATATCAGTGAGGGTCACCTCAGTGGAATTGAGAGAGTGTGAGAAGAGGAACAGGAGTAGCCATGAGGAGCTCATGTCCAGATCACTCCCACCCTGGACCAGGCCCTGGGGAACCTGCGTGGAAGAGGTCAGAGGGAGAAGAGAGGGGGGAGGGGGGGGAAGAAGGAGGGAGGGGAGAGTTGACGGGACGGAGGGGGAATAAAAAGGTGAGACACAGAGAGGAAGAGGAGTTTGGAGCGGAAGAATGGAGCAGAGGAAAACGCAACACCTCAGAAACAAGTTTATCCTGAATAACAATCCATCAACACACGTTCCACATATAGTTTCTCTGCACACTGAACCTCCCCCATACATCCTCACTTAACACTTAATACAGTTAGGATGAATTAACAAAAGGTTAGAGGTTAAGACTCTTTTATCCACATGAGCTGCAATGGTGAAAGTGCACCTCTACAACATATTAGGCACGCCGTACTCATGTAGACCTGACTTAGCTGTATGTACTCATTACGTAATCTTACCTTGTCATTGGATTAAAATGTGTATGCACGTGGAAAATAATCAGATTTTGATAGAGACTCAGCCAGAGCAAAGTAGAGGAGAGGCGGTTGTAGAGAAAAGGGCTGGTATTGTGAAACAGAAGCTTGAAATATTGTACGATGTGTGTGTTCTTAACACATGAGGCTGGCAATGGAGTGATGGGTGGAGGGTAGGGATTACATGGATGATGGTTGCATGAGTCAGAGGCAGGAGCTTTGTTGTTATAAACAGAAAGCGGGATCATGTGGACAATAACACATTGTAAGAGGCTAGCCCCCCCCCCCCCCCATATAGAGGAGAAGGAAGAATGAAAGAGAGGATAAATGAGGACTGGCTGAACTGGACGTGGGATGTTCTAACGTCTGACCTGAGTGGCTGAGGTGTTCGGGATGAGGGTGACTCGAGCTCTCACTCCCTCGGAAAGGGCTCTCTCCTCCGTCTTTTCTTGGATACAGTCTTGGTCACGTACAGGTAATTCCGAGTAAAGGCAACCTGAAGGATGGCGCACAAAACCACGTCAACCCACGAGATCTTTTTGTAGCGTTTGTTTTTAATACTGTGATTTCATGCAAAAGGATTCAAGTAGTGTATTATCGGCATGTGTTGACATAAGACGATGAGATTTTTTATCCACATAGTGTAGTATAGATAAACGCGAACCTGACGACATTAAGGCAAAAATGGTTCTGTATATACAAGACGCATACGTAAGTAATGTGCAGGTCATACGGGCCACTTACTGTTGCTGTGAGTGGTGGAATACAGGCGCTTGCCAAGGCAAGCAGGAGGTTGTGGGCATAAAATGGCCTAGGGGATATCAGCACCATAGGCAGGGCTGTTCTTTAGAGTAAACCCATTTCCAGGAGGGCTCCGTTCCTTCAACTTGGAGGAAACGAAACATTGGGCTCTGTGCTATACAAAGGAGCCAGAAGCTTAGTAGTGACCAAAAGTAGTACAGCAGTTTCAGTGCAAGGAAAAGGGTGTTGCCGACAGAGGAGACTGGAATTTGATAAAGGATATGCGACTTCGTAGTATGTATTACAGGTGTGCTGTCAATTTGTTAGTAGGAACATGTTGTCACAGCAAAGGTGTTAGCAACTGTATGTCTGGCAGGTTCGAGCAATGGAGGATACAACCCAAATGGCTAAGTGGTTATGCCTCAAAGTTTCAATTCCGTGGATCTATGATATATGGCTGATTAAGAATCTGGAGTAAACAGCCCACCAGCAAAGAGACACAGTGGTGGGAGGAAGGTGGGTAGAAGAGACCGGTGCACCACAGCGGACCGCTTGCCACACCTCCACCTGACCTTATTGGGCAAGAATGCACCCGTAGCCTCCGAAGAAACTAGTCTCTCCGTCCAGAGGAGAAACAACAAAAATCTCGACGCTCCCGAGTGACACCCATCTCTCTCCTCCTCTCTTCCTCCAAGCCCCTGATAGTATGCTACCGAATACCACCAACTATCCCCAAGAAAGCTATCGAGGTTCCGCCGGACAAGAAGAGAAAGATTGTCCCGCCAAAGGCCCATTCCCCTACCACATAAACTCAAGGCCAAGGAGAAGAGGTGTTTAGCAGCAGTTAGTGGGTACGGTGGGGCAGAGGGAGGAGTGAGAAAGAGAACAACAGTACCTGTCTTCTTGTGATCGTAGACTCTGACAGTGACATGCTCCAATGATAGCTAAACAGCGTTCCCCGCACACTCTCTCTGTACAGAAATTCTTGTGTTGGCACCAAAGTACACATATATTGACGGTCATCCACACTTCACTCACCCAACGCTGTTTGACTGCAAATGTTGTTGTGTTTCCAACACAACGGATACTCACATAACACATCCGGACCCCCAATGTTTACCTTGGCACTCATCGATCTCTTATATAGTCAGACTTTTCACAAATAAAAAAGGTGACAGAGTTAGGATATATACCATACATTCGTAGACAGAGTAAGGGACACGGTCGCCTGTCCTTTGGCTTCTGAGGTGGGGGCTGTTGTGTAGTTTCTTCCTCAAGTTTATCTGATGTACATCCGTGGAGGAAGAGCCTCCAGAGCTTTTTGGACGCTCGAATCTGCCACTCCTTCTGAGACTCTGGCGCAAGATTGATGCGTTAGGTAAATCGGCTTTACGCTAGAGCATGGGAAGGCAGGGGTTACTTTTCATACACGTACGTCCTTACCAGCCTTTGCTATAATGTGTGCATGCATGGTGTTTTTGGGTAGTAGAAACGTGCGGGCATAAGTGCACTCAGCTTACTGCGCAGCACCTGGCAAATATTGCTACTTGTTAGTATATACTTCGGTTTTGTTTCCTTATAAAGCAGTGGTTACTAAGAGCGAAGGTCTGCGAAATTGAAGAGAAGGTGTATAAACCGGAGTTGAATCACACGTATGCGTCGTAAGAGAACATTTAGACAATGAACAACTATGTAATAACGGTAGACGAACAGCAAACCATGGATAATCTCTGCATCACAGCATTCATTCAAGCCCCTGCATATGTGATTCAGCCCTACTGTTGATAGTGCCACAAGAACTAGGCAGGAAACCCTGTCAGCATCTGCCACATACACCCTAGCAATGAATGTACAGTACAGGACAGCATCCGTCATGACGTAGACATTACAGAGAGCATAACCAGGCATAGCTTAACTGGGAAGTTCTCTACACACTTCCACTAATCACAGCAGGTTACTCAGCCAAATATAGTAGACCTATGCAATAAGACACCACCGAACTACGTACAGTACGTAATGGTTCTTAGCTTCCGCCGATCATACGCAGGGCTGGAGTAAAACAGCATCGCTTTACAGAGTTCTATCAAACAAAGGATGTGTGTGGCAGTAAGAGAGCGGTATAGCACTACGATAATTATGTATGGTTGAAAGTGTATATACTGGTATGCCTAGGGTATGTGTAAGTACGTACTATTGTATTATCAAAGGGGAAGACTTACTGAGGGATACCAATGTAGGTCACCTCTGGCCCCTCAGGTCGTCCACTAGAGAGAGGCCAGTTCCAATGAGGGAGAGGGACAGCTCAGTGTGTGGTGGCTCCTGTTGGTAGTTCTCCTTGACTCGACACACTCTTCACCAGACTGTGACTGGACGTTAGGAGCAGGACTCGCTGGAGACTATCCATGAACGATATCCAGTATACTCTCTTCTTTCTTCTTCTTCTGAGAGAGAGAGGGGGAGAGGAAGAGAGAGGGGAGATAGTGATAGAAGGAGGAGGTGCATGCACAGTAAAAAGGAACATCTTGGGGACAGTGAATTTTCTCAGAGGTATCTAATCAAGTATGGGGCAGAACAAAGTGTCCTATGTAGAGGGATTTCCCTTCACTCAGTGTCCTTTCTTCAAAGGTTTGACTGCATGTATAGTGGTAGACGCTATGAGTTTCCACTGACTTATCCTTCTGAGACGTTCTCCCAACGCTTTTCTTCACTTCATCTGACAGCCTCCTCAGTTTTTTGGGAAGTGAAAAGTCAACTTCGCCGGTACCTACGGTTTTCAATTCAGCAGATGTGAAGATCAACGAAACACGTCCACATATGTATATACCTCCCTGATACTGGGTAACCTCCTGTCCAACGGCCACCTCTTCTCCCTCTTCCTCTCCCTCCTCTTCTTCCTCCTTCCCCTCCTCCTCCTCCTCCTCCTCCTCCTCTCCCTGCTGCTTGTGGGTCTCCTCGGCCAGACTATCTCCCTCAACTGAACCAGAGCCACTACGGATGCTGTCTTCGGACAGAAAGAAGTTCCCACTTCCATTCACCTATATACAAACACAGCACACACGCGCCAATTAAACACACACAGAGTCTGGAGTAAGATTAACCATAAATTGGTACAGAAAGAGAGAGTGTATGTATTCTAATGACCTTAGGGTCGAGTCTATTTGTGAGGAGAAGCAGAACCTTCTCCCCCAGAGGAAGATCCCAGCTATACATGAGGCTCTGTTTGGGCTCCAGTTGGTAGACACATGGACCATCTCTGACGCAGAGAAAGAGGAGAGAGAGAGAGAGAGAGAGAGAGGAGAGAGAGGGGGGGAGGTTCAGACCGGTAAGTACAGTTAGTAAGATACAAAAACTCTAGCTGTACATGTATGTAGGAAAAACTTAGGAAAACTTCAAGTTGACTGATTAGGCATCAGAAAGAAACATACATAGACAAATACAAGGCATACAGAAAGACAAACAACAAACGAAAAGCAACACACATTTGTTTGAAGGGGAGGTGGTATTCAGTATGGTTGACCAGTTGAAGGGGGACACAGCCAGAGTAGTAGGGAGTGAAGGTGATGATATTGGCTGAGCCTGTCACTTGCACTTCAACCATCACTGCCGGCACCTAACGCACAGTGAATCCCATGACATAAATGTGACAGTGAACACAGAATCAAGGTGTGCACATGAGCACATAAAACTAGTGTGCGTCATTCGCAATATATTTATGTACAAATGGTCCACCAAAATTTGTGAATTATATTTTATCCCCCAAGACTTTTGAAGAAAGTTTTTTTCCTGTAAAAATTGTCCCTGGCCACAAACTCTTGTGGTACATACGTAGGTATGTGCCACCTCACCTGAGGGTTGCGTGTCCTGACCAGGAGAGAGGCGGTCTCTGTGAACGTGAGCGGAGAGCTGCGGAGTCTCATTGTCTCGTCTCCCACCGATATCTCCAGACTCTTGGAGCCAGCGCTCGGCCAAAAGGGAAGCAACTATGGAGACAATTGAAATGGTATACTGAAACCAACTATGGAGACAATTGAAATGGTATATTGAAACCAACTATGGAGACAATTGAAATGGTATACTGAAACCAACTATGGAGACAATTGAAATGGTATACTGAAACTAACTATGGAGGCAATTGAAATGGTATACTGATACTCGGCATAGAATGGTAAAAGAGGCCCTTTTGGACGTAAGCATAACAGAGAGGTTGTTCTACAATATGTACTAGTACTGTCCCATTTTTAGAGTTACGTAAATAATACAAATAATTAAGTGCAATTCATACGACCAGGTGGGCTCACTTTTCACTCCAAATATTTGACAGTTCAATAAAAAAATTTGACTCACTTGTCCTGGAACAATAGTGGAAACCTTTGAGGAGCTCCGACTGCATTCACGAAACGAGACACTGTCCTGCAGTGTATATACATGACCAATGAGTACAGTTACAGACCCAGTCTGACCCACTCATGTAGTGGGGAAAAGACGAGAGTTTACCCTGGTGCTGTTGTTGATCATATAGAACGGAGACAGTGTGAGGACTCGGGTGGTACCAAAGTTCGCGAGGTCCACTTTTGTTCCAATCTGCGGGAATGGGGGGCCGAAACTCTGACTAATACACCCACACAAGAAAGGGGCATTTCTTTGAGAAAAGTTTTTCAGTTTTGCCAGGCAATCTTGATTCCCAGCCTATATCATCATACTCACGAGACTTATTTACACACTTAGTGCACACTAGTGGTAAGAAAGGCCCAAAAATCTTGGCTGAGGATAAGCTAGAAATATAAGTCAGTGTGTGACTTTACCTGCAGCTCCTCTGGGGGGTTTTTGAAGGAGCAGGTGAAGATTCCTTCGCTGCCCAGTGTCTCGAGAGAGAACTTGTTGGACCACTCGCTGTACCTGTCTCCCTTCACCACACGCACACACACCTGCAGGGCGGGCACATACGTACATCTCTGAACCTATTTCAGTTGCGACCCACTCTCACACTTTTTTACTACCAGGACATTTCGAGGGGAAAAAGCTTCCACCATTTGTAGCAGATAAACTTTTCACAGTTTAAAAAAAACATTCGGAGTTAACACGTGTTCTTACCTCTTCGTGAGGATACAGAGAAATGGCCGATTTCGAGTCGTGCATGTACACTTCAGTAGGTTTCTGCCCCTGTGGGGAGATTAATAATGAAAGGGCCCCCCTCAGAGGGGGGAAAGGGGTTAAAAATTGCTCAGTTCCGAGATAAGAGAGGGGGGACGAATGACATACACAGACACCTACGAAAGAAAAGAACCCCTCGGGGGCCCTATATTGGAGGGTGAGTCCCGTCTTGTTCACCATCCAGTTACGACTGCACACACTCAGCTGCCACGCCCCCTTCTCCTCCTTCTTTACCAACAGTTCCTGAGTGAGAAGAAACACGGCATATCGTTACACACCAAAGGGCCCGCCATTTGGTGTGAGCGTTCTTTAGACAAAAACAGGACAACTTGCAAGAGATGACGCTTTCCCATACCAGTGCTCTGGTTATAGAATCACATAGTTTTTAAAGCATTATGCAGACTTGGCATTAGAACTAAGGGCACCTCGCAATACATTGATTGTTATACAGGTATGATAGGTGTGTGGGTGTTAGTACGTATATATGACAGACCAGGCTGCAGGATTCGTGGCTGACAGTGAACACAGTCTCCTCATCTGACTTGGAGCCCATCATGAAACTACCACTCCATCTCTTGTCCTTCTTCTGCACCTACAATAATACAGCATACATGCAGGAGCTGGGAGTCTGGAGATGTATAGTTCCCAGTTTCGAGGTACACAGTTGTCCCCTATTAGTACATGTTTACTTTATAAGACTAAAATCTCTACTGAAACGGTCAATCCGGATCATTTCGAGGAATAAAAAGCTGTAAAACATAGCCTTTAAAATTTGCTATTGGATCGACCACTGCATCATCGTAAAAGGTGTACGTACCTCGACAAGGAACTTTTTTGTCTGAGAGAGTTTGGTGTAGCTGATGTGTGCCTGAGACCCGGAGGCAATGAGGACCATACTGTGGCCTTCTTCTCCAAGGGAGAGGGAGTAGGGGAGGAGGTTGTGGACCACGAGGGGCTGGTGGAGGTGGACCAGGTGGTGGGCTCGCTGGGAGAGCGGGACGGACGGAGAACGACTGTATTCCTCTTCCTCCACCGCCGTCTGTGGTGGGAGATAATATGATGATGTAATAATGATGATGTAATAATAAATACTCTACACATGGTTTAGCTAAATCAGTTAGTAAAGCCAGTTCTGTTAACCGGTTCAGCCTAAATCGGTGTTTAAAGTGTCTGTGTAAACAAGGGCTTGTGTACTCAGCACAACAACAACAATGCTCCAACATGCCTGTACACAAACACACATACCATCAAAAAACAACCGTACCTTTCGTCAACAACAACAATCTACATACATGTCCGTATTGGTAAAGAATAATACATGGTCGTACAGTAATTGGTAAGCAAAGTGGGGCTAAAAGCCCTACACAGCTTGCACCAGTTTGTCTGTACTGTAGCATACTGTAGCATACTGTAGCATACTGTCGGGCGGTGTAATAAAGGTACCCTCACATGAACGAATGAGAATTTCTGTTGGCCGCGAGCTCCTCCAACCCGTGCCTCAGATCTGGTGACACTGCAGCAAATATCCAGACTTTTCCTTCCCTCCACTGGACTGGAGGCTGGCTCAACCTGTATGGTTCCAAAAAAACATAAAAACCGTGGGGTTTAGGCGGCGAAAGTTTTCCAACACAAGAGTTGTCTGAACTTCTACAGAGTCTCTCTATAACCATTACCCGGTATGTGGTAGTTGGAAGAAGAGGAATCCTCCACGAGAGGCAGAGAGAGGGAGAGGGACCAGGGAGCCGGGAGGGACTAGGGCCACACCCCCAGTCTCAGAGCCAGTCGGTGGTGATGGCGGCAGAGGAGGTGGGGTGTGGGAGAGAGAGTGGTGCACTGTGACTGGCTGGTCCAGGTGGTTGTGGACCTGACAGACCAAGAAATAGTTTTACAGTAACATTGACAAAAGGAACAACTAAAATCTATGTCTCTCCTCATATTTTTGCTCCTCTCTCAACACCCCACCCCTTCTCTCTTTCTTTTTCTGGTGCTATATAGTATCTCCATTCTTTCAACCGAACCCTCCTTTTCGTCTCCTCTATTTCACTTTGCAACCATCCCTCTTCTTTTCTCTCCCTCTCTCCGCCCTCTTACTCCCCCTCCGTTTCTACTCTGTTCGTATGGTGCCCACCTGTAGAGGAGATCTGAGAGTGACAACTGGAGCCCCTGCAGTTCGGTCGATATCAACAACCACTCCGCTCCCTCCCTTCTCCCTCTCTCCACCACCAGCACTAGCTGCTGTGGAGGTGGAGGACTGGGGTACCAGAGGATAGTACACTCTCTCATACATCCCCAGTGCCACGTCTAGAGCTGCAAACCCCGCGATCTGAACGGGAGGGAGGAAGCAATGAATCAAGAAAGAGTAATTCACAAAACTGGTTTCTAGTTTGTCTATTCGCTGAAGGTTTCTACATACGTTCTCCAGTAGTCTAATGCAAAAGTTTTCCAGCGGTTTAAACTTGATGTCTATCTTCCCTGTATGAATTCATTTGTAAGAGATTTCTCTGTACATTTATAAAGTGCAATAGGTACTGAGACTGACCAGCAGTTGGAGGATGTGTACTCGACTGAGGTGACTGTCACGTGGGAGGAGCTCTCCGGGCTTCATCTTGACCACACCCTCTGTCGGGTGGAGTGGGAGGGCGGAGTCACCCTGACGCAGGACCGGGGAGTATGCTCCATGTACCTAATTGAAACACACTGATAATCTGATGGATCATGTGAGGGTCATGGTGGTAAACTGATGGATCATGTGAGGGTCACGTGGTAAACTGATGGATCATGTGAGGGTCACGTGGTAACCTGATGGATCATGTGTTGGTCACATGGTAAACCTACTGCATAGGGCTGGGCAGCTCTTTTCAACTGTCTCTTGGGTGTAGTTGCCTTGTTGTCTAAATTCCTTTACAGATCACATTTTCACAAACCTTCAGAGTGTGGGCTGGTTTGACAGTGACTGGATAGTCTTTCCCCAACTGCAGTGATACACAACACAAACAGAGTCAAAGAGATACTTTTACCAGTGTTCAGTGTACAGCACACCTTGTTGACTACAGTGAAGGCAGCACCGTAGGTCTCTGGAGTGTCCACTTCTTCAACTACCATTGCCTTCTTCTCGGTGTAGGCCTGCAGAGGATCAAGGGAGGGGAGAAAGTGAAGTCTTTTTACAAGGAGAAAAGCCTCATGAAATAGAGCATAGTATTTGCAAGAGAGAGAGAGAGAGAGAGAGAGTGAGAGAGAGAGAGAGATCAGAGTGTGAAAGAATGGAGATTTTATGAGGAAAGCGTTGCTATAGATGTTGTGAAAGAAATTTGAGGAAAGAAATGTCATGTATGTTGTGTTAAGTAAGATCCAAAGACACCCTGCCATTAGCTTGACCTAAGGTGACTGACCTGGACCAGCTGTGAGAAGATGTTGAGAGATGACTTGGTCAATGTCAACTGGAGGGCACTCTCTGCCCACACATCAACACTCAAATTAACCTCCTCCTCTCCCTCCTCCCTATCCTCCTCCTCAACTTCCCCTAGTATTCCGGCATCTGATATAGTATGAAGACAATGTTGCAGTACTTGTACTATTCCACCAGCTTGTATGTATATACAGCTCACCACTTGTTATTACGGGTTGAAACCAATAATGACTGACCCACTTATTTTAGCATATGCATAAGGCATGCCCTACAGACCTGGTTAAACTTCACAGACTAAGAAAGTCAATAAATCTCCAGCGATACGTTTAACTGCACGCTTTTCATATAAACTGAGGTTTAGCCATACAGACCAAGTTCAGATGCATATTATGTGAGGGTTATAATGTGCATGTGTACCTTCAAGATGTTTGGAGTGGCTGGGTGGCTGCCTCACAACCGTTGCCTTCATACTCCACGAGATGTACCTGTCCCTGTTCCGCGGGTCCACAATTGGTTCCAGAATGGGCTCCCACGAATCGTTCCTGATGTTGTAGTAGGCCACTTCCAGGTGTAGCTCTGTGCTCACCTTTAGCTGTGAAATGGTTATCCAAATAAATCCGGGGTCGATAAACAAAGGTCACGAGACCAACGGTTCAATACAAGGGAAACAGGGCCAGAGGTCAGTACCCTCCACTCTCTAATAACGACATTTTCTTTCCTGCAGATTCTTGTACTCCTGAAAAAGTACACTCACTAACAGAGGATTTCTACAGGTCCCATTGGTGTTGAGACTAGAATAGTCCTATAATAGGCACTGTATTATATACATGATGTCATGATGATGATGTCATACTTTTGAGCTCCAGTCACGAAGCTGGAGGGTGAGAGCCGTGCTGGAGTACTTGCCCATCGCCATAGAGATGGCCGGGAATGTGCGGAGAGAGGGCGTGGCCACTTCTTGCTCCACCACAACAGTGATATTAGCTACCTCGAGCTCAAACTGACGGGGAAAATGAAGGCTTGAATGGTGACGTGGTAAGAAAGCAACACTGAAGGAAGGCAGACTGAGCACAGGTGTACGTACACACCTCTAAAGACTAAAGGTATATACAGTGTGGCATTAACACCGGCTGGTGGAATTTAAAAATCCCTTATACTCTCTTTGCTTCCTTGCTTAGGCTAAAACCCAGGGGCCTGAGTGTATGGTGCTACATATAGGTGGCAGTAGTTGCAGCTAATGTACTGATTCATTCCAGCGCTGGCTGGGAGCTGAGGAGACGGTAGAGAAGTGGGTGGTGAGGTGGGAGATGGATGGAGCAAGGTGGTCCGAGGGCTCAGAGTCTCTCAGATACCACTTTTCCTGAGTCTACCTCTTGTGATGGACCTGCTGGTCCAGAGATTAGCTGGAGCTGTCTCTCCCATTTCATGTTCCTCAGCCTGGAGGAGGGTGAGAGAGGAGGGAGAGAGGAGACAGAAGAAATAAAGGAGGAGGGAGAGAGGAGGGAGGGGAGAGGAAGATGTGGAGAGGGAGGGAAAGAGAAGACCAATTGCAGCCTTCATGAGTCAGTGTACTCAATGAATCTCTAGGCAACATGCATAAATGGTGAACAGCTGGCAACATGCACATGCAGAGAGTGTATTATGCTTGCTTATGAGTGAGGCTTGCAGAAGAGAAAGAAGAGAGAGAGAGAGAGAATGAGTCGTGAACAGCCAATGCTTGCCTGTCCAGAGCTGAGAGAGTTGATGGAGTTGAGGACAATCCTGACGGTGGCTGGAGAGAGGACCAGCTCCAGAGAGGGGACTGTGGCGGAGATCTTGGTGACCCCGTCCCACTGGTCCATGTAGACCAGAACTTTGTCTGACAGGGGACCTAGGACCTGCAGCCATAGTGGTCAGACTTTCATCTCCACATTTTGTTACGCTTCCTAGTGAAGTACACTAGAATGTAATAGTCATGGCCGCAGCAAAGGTATATACTACTGTAGCTTTTGAAATATTGGGTCGTGTGCACTTGTCGTCGAGAGTTGGTTCTCAAACATATGTTGAGACACTATCTCTGCATATCCAATTTTTGCCAAGCTGACCAGCTCTCAAATGCAAGCGCACATGACCGGACATCTCAAAGATAGGGCATTACGTTACGTTACAAGTTGTGAGAAAGCTGTGAGACAGCTTGCTGGGTTGCGAGAGAGTTAAGTGGGCTGTTTGTTAGGATGGCTTACAGGTTTGAGAATGGTCATCTCGAGATTCGGGTATCTGGCGACAGATAGGGAGAGACGTGACAGAGACCCGCTGAGGCTGGCACAGTTGGACGGCAGTTTCCGGGTGAGGTTTACACACACCTCCATCTGAGTTGCAAAACAGTTTTACCAAACTTCATTTACTAATCAAACTTCCTCACTATGCATTATAGAGGATGGGGACATTGCCATAATTATAGGTGTATTGTGTTACATTAACACAGGAAGACTGACAGTGGGTTACCGTGCATCACTGAAGCAGTTGGCTGCATTTTCTTAGCAGAGGAAGTAATCCTAATCCGAAGACTGAGCACGGTGATGTTTGTGCATACTATTCTCAGAGTCAGTCCACTTGCCCAAAGTAAATTACAAAATGCGTGCAACCTGCCCTTGCTTCCTTCCCGTGACCTTTTGGTCGTCACACCACCACAGTCTATGCACCACATCAAACATTCGCACATAGTGGGAAAGGTTACACCAGTATCCTCTGTTCAGGCTAACAAAGAAAGCCGCACAGTGCATCATGCGTGGGAGAGTCAACAGATCCTGGGTGGGAAATAGCTGACCTGGCAGACCAGAGCTGGCGAATAGGGCTGCCGGGCATCCTCTAGCAGAGCCACGAGCGGATGTGTGACTTTGACCGAAATGGACATCTTTGACTCCTTTTCCATTGACTGTGTCCTAGAGAGAGAGGAGGCCACCTCGTGGTGTGGGGCAGTGTCCTCTCTTCCCTTATCCTTCTCCTTCTCCTTCTCCTCCTGCTCCTCCTCCTTCTCCCCTTCTTCCGTATTGACTGGTTTGTCCGGTTGTAGAGGTTTGATGCTCTCCAATAGGAATACTGTAAGTGCCTCGATGAACTTGAGATTCACAAGCACTTGAATCCCATTGATTGCGGTAACAACTGCATATGAGAGATACGACGTAATATAAATGTAAGACGAGTTGTAATAGTTTTACTGTTCGTGCTGTTGTCGGGAGTGAGGTTGTATTCCAGAGAAATGAGATGTTTCGAAGGCTCTTTGTCAAATGCCCTCTTCTCTATCATTCTGTATAAAAACAAGGTGTATCAAGGCTGCAACTGAGGACATTCACACACACACTGAAATACACAATTATTGAATGCAATATTATAGCTACAGCATGTTTTTAAACGCTATACTGTACCGTCTGATTCTTAGTTCGGGTTGTTCCTTTTTCGGCACAGCTACCACATCGACACTGGATTCCCGTGTTGATCCTTCTTCATCTTCCTCCTCCTCGTCCGCTGTCTCTCTGTCTTCGTCCAGCCTTGTTCTCAGGTCGTCCAGCATACAGTCGTCCAGCGATACAGAGACACTCGTGGCTCCATTGCTCTCTCTCTTTACCCCTGCCTGGAGACCCTCCAGAGAAATCTCTGCAAACTCTCGCGTTCCTTCTCTTTCCCATGTCGACTTGTCTTCACAGGTCTATATATATAAAGAACAAAAAGAACTCGTGACTACTTTCCAACCTTTCCTTATTTCAAAAACCAATACTCAGAACTATGTATGTAAAAAATTAGTCTCCAGCGGGGGGGCGTCTTCCCCTTACATAATCTCTCCCAGCGTAATTTTTTTGTGTAGCTATGATCCGATGATAAGGTTCCCATGTTATCTTACAAGAGGATGATGATCCTTGAAGTAGAGTTTGAGTCCAATGGTTTTCATACGTGCAGAGATAAGCAGCTCGGTGAATGGCTGCTCACTGGAGTCAGTGGTGTCTTCAGGCACAGTTCCTGGCAGTGAGTCTGATAGCATATAGACAGTGGTAAAACTAAGCACTTGCAGTGTGTAAACCTGGCCTACCAATAGGTTGTCTATCTTCTGCAACTCCAGCAGAGAAACTGCGGCCAACATTTCCTGATCCTGCAGCGGACACGCACACAGCGATAACAAAAACGGCGCGCGCTCGCTGCGCGTACCCACGCGCATGCGCTGACACTGCTATAAAACCGGGACGCGCGAACGACACAGACTCCAGTGTCATAACGAATGTGCAGGGGAAGATGAAGCAAGCTATTTTAATGATTGTGATATTGGCCGCGTCCATGGAACTAGGATCGGCCCTGGATGACTGCATCTTTGAGGATTGCCCGCCGGTTCTTTGCGCGGACCCGGTCCGTGTGGACGGCCAGTGCTGTAGGACGTGCGATAACAGTTCCTGTAACTACCGTGGCTGCGTCCACTTCGGCGCTTTCGGCCCGCAGTGGTATCCGGATCCGTGCACGCTGTGCTCGTGCCGTGGCGGCGAGGAGTTGTGCGCGCAGATCATTTGCGACGTCCCCGCATGCTTCGGCTACCCGCTCGTCACCGACCCGGACGCCTGCTGCCCGCGTTGCGACTGGGGAATAGCGGACGACGAATGCGCTCCGATTCCCGTCCGGAACGTGTCACTCTACGCGACTCTGGGGGACGGCGCCCAGTGCCACCAAGAAGTTACCATGCACGAGTGCGACAAAAACTTTCTGCTCAAGAACGGTCGGATTCACGAGTGCATCGGGAAGAACCGGGCCAAGCCAATCGAGACAGAAGACTGTAAGGGTATCCGTAAAATCATCCTGGAGGACACCACCAAATGCATCGTAAGGAGACCAAGAGCACCTATTGCTGATCTGGACCTCAATCCTAACCTGTGTGCTATCAGAGTTCCTTGAACCATTTTCATACGATTTTGTGGTCATTTTGTCAGAAATAACTACTACTCCTTTGCACACCCACATAAAATACTCTAAAGACGGAGAGTGGGAGAGGGTGCAGCTTTCATACATAACCGCACATATTTCACTCACCACTGCCTCCCTAGGCAACTGCCTACCTGTATCCACATCACTGGGACAGCTCTCTTTGAGGTTTCCAAGTAGTATGAGACACACACTCTCAATATCGTCTCCACTAGCAACCACCTGTACGTACACAACACAAGCATGGAACACTCATCACACACAGTGTGCATCACATTGATTCTTTGTGCGGTACAGTGCTACAAGTGTATAGTCATGGTTCCAGTGTAGGACACATATGCCTTGTGCACACATTAGGCAAACAGTACATCAAACTGGTAGGCAGTGTATAAAAGGGCAGTGCCAGGTAAAATTGGACATTATATGTTACAGTGCCCAGATAGGACAGCATGAGCCCTGTAAGGGCAAATGCTGTCCTGAGTGCAACAGATTTGTTGGATATCCCTAGGAAAATGACATGTATGAACCCTGCTTGCACATGTAGGATTATATAGGCTGATAAAGTACTTAGCTTCATACATGTCGGTTGCCTAGGGATATCCAACAAATAAGTATACATTTTGCTTATAACCCTTACCAGGAGAGGGTTTAGCTTAGCATCAATGGATAGAGTAGGCATGCCATGATACCAGTCGGCTGACAAGTTCCTGTGTATCTCAACGGTCAGAGAGACTGGCTTAAGGATGTCGCGCTGGCAGTCAGAGTGTTTGTTGCTCTCTCCATCCCACACCGACCTACACCCACAGAGAACTCAGTGTGTACACACGACAACCTGGCCCTCCGGAAATCAAAGAAGATCTCCAGGAGTGGCTCTGACGTGAGACTTGAGGATTTCATCAATCAAATCAAGCAAGTATTATTATACTACCTTCGTCAATTGAATGCTGGATAAACATTCTATGTATTGCCTTGAGGCAACACAAGATTTGTGCCAGATCCATGAACCATTATCAAAGGTTCAGCCAATAGCATTAGTATTTTTTACCTGTACAGCTTGAGATCTTTCAGCTCCATGTGGTGTTGCTCGTAGAGTGCTATGCTCTTATCTTTAGAGAAACCAACATCCAGGCCGAGGAACCCGTTTGTGAGAGAGAACTGGCCCAAATCCAAGACCACAACGTCGCATGATTTAGAATTGAGCGGCATAGTGATCTCAGGAGCTTCAACCGATATGGCCAGCTTTATTCTCATTGGAACGCCTGGTTTTGACCCCTGTGTCTGAAAAATGCCACCACTATTTACTTGCAGTGAGGTACTATCGAAAACTAACTTTCTGTACAGCTTGTGTTTCATCTAACCCCTGTGTATCTTGAGGCCCAAAAAGATCATCGTGATCCTGCTTTTGCGCATCATGAAGCTGCTGGATGTAGTTGAGAACGCGGGACACAAAGAGGTAGAGTGCCACTATTCTGATACGGTTCACACTCAGTTTCACAGACAAGTCACATTTGCTGGTGTCATAGGCCCCCTCTCCTTTAGTGGCATTAGAGAAGTAATCCACCTAACGGTATGGGTGAGAATAAAGTTTACTGGCTACTTTGGAGGAAAACTTCATATGGGCAGGGAAACTGCCAGATCTGTAAAGACACAACTCAGTTTGTGTCTCAAACAACTCTGAGGCTCTGCACCACCCATCCCCCCTCTTGTCTTTTTGTTCAACGTGCGGGGGATGTGCGAACGCAGTCCCCCCCTACCAAATATTATGTACCCGAGTCACCTAGTTTGGGCGATCGCAGGCTTCAACAAGGCCAAGTGCAATGCCGAGTCTCCACTTGGAGGAACCGCCTACTTGATCACGGTATCCCCTGTGCCAGGTAAGTTAGTCTGAGCGCTGCGGAGCTTGCTTTTACGCGGATTCTGTACAGGAACAGTTGCGGTTCCGCAAGATTAATATAATTATAATCATTACCTAACGGTGCTGGTATTTGCGCATGCCCGCGCACTTACCCACGCTTCAACTGCCAAACAGTTCTCTTCAACTGACACGATCTGCACGTACAAAGAAGCTGGAAATAAAAAATGCGCTCTCTTGCTTACTTGCTCACCTTATGATATAGAACTCCAGGTGTACAGTCAAAAACTTCAACACCAGATATTCTATATCCCCGAAAGTATAGAGCTTATACATAGCTATACACTCACCATGGATTAACTAACCTAGCCTTGATTGCAACTTTATCATTCAGCATATCGACTGATGTCGCAGCTCCTGTATTATATTAATATACCAACATTTTTTGTTATCAAAGAAGATTAGCATTCATTCGACCTTTGATCTTGATCTCAGCCACTTCCCCCACATGGGAGCACAGGAGGAGTTCCAAGCTCTCCACATCAGCCTCCACGTGGACAGTGACACCACCAGTAGAAGACCCTTCTCCCTCTCCCTTCCCCTCAACCTTCACCACTGCCTTCTCTTCCACAGCAGTTTCTTTCTTCTCCTCCTCTGGTTTGCCTTCAGTTGCAGCAACCTCCACAGCAGACTCTACACATACATGGTTGATTGTAAAGTACACTTCATACATAACACCTAAAATTGTTTGAAGATTCTACTTTGTGAAATGTGTAAAGGGCAAAGTGTGCCAAGGGTTGACGCTATGCTTCACCGACAACCCCGTGTTGGAAAGTGTGAAATTACAGCTGGATGTGTTCACAGTTAGTGAGCGAGGTGGAGATATTTCCATTACCTTCCTTCTGGTTCATGGTCTTGGTGTCTTGCAGAACACACATCACATCATGGTAGTCCTGTGGACTAAACTGCATCTGAGGCGTCACAAAAACACACACAGGTTATTCTGCAGAAACGATGAATGAATGTCATCTTTTGCACCTGAGTTCTCTTCAATTTGCAGGAAACACTGACAGCGGGTAAAGCAGTGCACCAACCAGAAAGCAACCGTGTTATTTTCCCATTGAACTGCAGTGGCTTTAGCAGCATGTGACCGTCGCTCCAATCTCATCTGACTTGGTTACTTTCAGTTCACTACCGGCCTTCTCAACATCCATCACTCTAAGTGAACGATAATTGAAGAAAAAGGAGATAGAGAAGTGCACTAATTGATAGAGAAAATAGAGAGCAATCTGTGAAATGCGGATCAAATAACTAAGACAAGAGAACTGCAAAACTCTTTCAAAACCTTTCCACTTCAGTATATATATATAGAAACGGTGAAACATAGTTTGATACATTACCTTGACAGTTGTACAGAAGAGATGGTGACAGTCATAGAGTCCACCACTGCAGGACATCCAGAGCTAGACAGGAATCGAGACTGATCTCTCTTCTCTCCCTGCTCCCCTGCTGTCTTCTCAGCGGCCACGTCACTGGCCAGTCTGAACACATTTCTAATTGTCAGTTCCCCGAGATTGGCCACAAAGGCCCGCTGGTGAGACGGCAGGGCAGGTGGAGGAGGTGAGGAAGAGGAGAGGAAGGAGGTGGAGAGAGGGACAGAGGAGGGGTGTAGGGAACCACAAGAAGAGGTGCTCCGATGATGACGTTGAGTTTAACACGAGAAGAACTTCGCTCTCTTAGAGCTTCAGCCTGCGCGGAGAGAGCACACAAAACACAAACTTCTTCTCTAACCCCATTCAGATGAGTTTGAAATATAAAAGAGGGCAGAAATCTCACCGTTTTCGAGGCAGTGTTACTAGCAGCTTCGCGGGCCGAATCAATAGTCGTCTGGTCCAGCTTGAGCCTGTGCAGAAACTGCATCGCAAATCTCTACAAAGAGAAGCAGTTTTCAGTGAGGCCCAAAGAATATACTATACTGTACCTGGACTCTGGTGAGGAACGAGAAGATGATCATGACTCTCAGCCTCTTCACGTCGGCTGTAATGTCCATGTCAGACAGAGAAAGGTCTCGAGGGTCGCGCACACACGCTGGCACGTTGAAGACAGTAATCTGAACAGTCAGTGAAAACAATGGGTTGGAATGGAGATGCCACAGCGTGTGGTCACCTTCAAAGAGATAACTTTCTTGTCTTGGTCCATTTTCTCAATTATCTGGAACACGTTACAAAGCATTGTATGTTGTTCATGCAGACCGGCGGAACTAATACCTTTTTGTGGTGGACTTTTGGTTCATTGTCCAACAAGACGATATCTGCCACACTAACAAATGGACACCATGGATCACACACACACAATCATGGACAATTCATGGACAATTTTTTTATTGTAGACCATGGCTTACCTGGCCTCTACTTGGAGGTAATCCTGGAACTTATCCACACGTGCTTCGATACCTACAAAAAACACAGCAGCTATGACTATGGCTTTGTAGAGAGAAATGAATCCAAAATTGAAAGAAAGAAGGACAGTGGAACCTACGGATAAGGGACACTATAGGGCCAATGATTATTTTTGTCCATTGCAGAGATCTCGTCCCTATCTCGGAGGGCAAATACAGTATTGGTTTGGAGTTGAAACAAGTGTCCTTTGTAGAGAGTGTCGGAGAGTCCCTTATCAAAGGTTCCACTGTACACTAGAAGTCTGGACTGGGCTCACCGGTGATGGAGGAACTCATGACCTCACCGAGGTCACCACCACACAGCCCCACCACCAGTCCTGCCAGAGACACCTTCAGCTGGAGCTGTCTCTCACCCTCTGGTACCTGCTGTTCCACCCCCTCACTTGACGGAGATGAAGAGACAGACGCTGTGAAAAGAAACATGAAGGTAGGTATTAGACCATGTGATGTACATTATAGAAACCCACTGATATATGATACAGCACTTGTCATTGTGTTTCAGCTAGACTTACGTTCTACTGAATCTCGAACACCTTCTTGAGCCTCTTCACCCTCATCACTGTCTGCAGACCTGAAACACAACAAAGAGCAAACGGTTGCCTCATTCGATCTTATGAGCCGACGTCCTGCTATAGCTATACTCTACCTACTTCAAGACGGAGGTGATGGAGACGAGAGATGTCGATGAGGTTGAGGAGACTGTCAGAGTGGAGTTTCAGTCGCAGTAGGGCCAGCGACGCAGCCATCGTCTGCCGAGTGAGGTTAAACTCAGTTGCATAGTGTGGAGCCTGAGGGTCAAACTACATCATTGGGGGAAAGAGACAATAGGTAAAAAATTACCATTGTAACACTAAAATTTTAAGGCATATTATTCGCATAGTCAGGAAAATTCTGAGCCACAGAAATTTTTTACAAAACTGCAAACTCGATGATCCATCTGTATTTCAAAATTCTTAGACGCAGGAGAGTGGTCCAGAAGGGATGGCATGCATTTGTACAATAAGTGTGTCATACGGAAAATTTGCGCACACTAACTCACACAAATAACGTATAAGTTTATTAAGGTTAAGGTAATACATTTACTCAATGTAATACACCTTTGAGTAATTGAATGTGATGAGTTTCTGGCCGTCTGTTAGCTGTGTGTCAAGAAACGCTCCTGGCTCCCCATTGGGACCTACACACGTACGTATATGTTATACATGTACGTGGAGAGACACTATAGTCGGTACCAGTGAGGTAGTGGTCAACAACACAGAGGTCACCAATGGACGCCGACAGTCTCATGTCCCAGGATCGCATCACTGAGGTCAGAGGTCACAGAGGTCACCAAGAGGTGAAGCCTCGGAGTGTCACACCCACTGGACTCGCGGTGCTCACTAAATAGAATACCGACCTAAAAGAGATACAAACCACGTTTCATATCTACTTCTCGGCGATCTTCCTTAGACTCGGCTTACCTGACGGACAACAAAATGGAGGGTGAGTTTGGTAGTAGAGAGAGCAGCTGTTTGTGTCTCGTGTTCCCGATGGTGCAGCACTCCCTCTTCGTCACTCTCACACTCACTGGCAGTCTCAAACCCTTCTTCATCACCTGCTCACACAGAAAGAGATTGCATGCGCGTACGTGACAGAGGGGGGGACGAGAAAGGGGAGAAGGAGGGAGGGAGGCGAGAAGGAAGGGAGACAGAGGAGGAAGAGAGGGTTCGGTACTGGGTGGTGGACCTACTGCTCTCAGACTCTGGCTGTGCAGGACTAATGAGTAGTGTTTCGCTGATGTTCTCCACCATACTGTCTGTTCCCAACTGTGACGGCTGATCAGGGATCGAGTATCTCTATAAACCAAATGTGAGAAAGAGGAATCAGTGGATGACTGGGACAAAAAGTGTACATACGGAGCTTGACTGCACGTTCTGCTGGGCTAGTGAAGGAGGAGGAAGAGGAAGACTCTGGACAACCTGAACACAACAAAGATTTACAAAGCGTAATAAATACACTAGCATGTAAATATACTACTGTGCTGAGAAAAACGGACCTGTAGCAACTGTTTGAGTTTCTTGTCAGACACACTCAATGTCAACGCTGGTAACACCCCTTCGACTCTCAAACTGACCAAGAAAAAAGCGAGAGAAAACGTTCGAAGAGCTAATTCTGAAGAAGGTTAAAGCTAACTTTGGTAGTCGCGTGTCGTTGGGGAGAAGGCTCTTCTTGAGTTCCAGTTCCAGACTGGTTGGTTCCAGGACGTGGAGTGGGGAGGTGCCAGAGGACCAGGCAGAGCCCCAGTCCTGCCCGGGCCCAGCCACCAGCACCTGCAGTCTCTTGAGGCTCAGCTTGAAATGATCGTAGAACGCCTCGTCCAGTTCGGCATCCGTGGCCCCCTGCAACATAAGTGAAGCCAGCACACTTAAGGCCATGTTACATGCAACTTGGTTTGTGTGGGACACAGAGTTGCATGCAACTTCAAATGTATGGGTATGGTGGGTCACACAACATGTTCCACAGCAATAGGAAACTTTGCTGCATGGTGTATCATATATACCAATACATTTGAGGTTGCATGCAACTTTTGTCTCAAGCAACAAATAAGTTGCATCGTGTATCATGATGGCCTTTAGTTGTCTGAGTTGCACAAATTAATGGATACTTACCCTGACGTCCGGTACGTAAGACCTGAGGTCACTCTTTATTTCCAACTGACCAAGATCAGCCACCAGCACACAGGACGAGCTGCAGGTTATGATGATCAAACACACACATGCTACTACGTATCTACGTAAGTAGTGGAGATGGTGTATATACAGTAGTGGTAAAGTGGGGGAGACGTACTCGGCGATGGCTCCACTCTCTGGCACCACCAGACAGGGAGAACTGAGAACCACATCAAGATCCAGGAGCTGCAGCAATACAAATACTTGGAATCCATCCCTCTCTCCGCCTTCTTCCCATATACATTTCCCCCGTTTCCTCCCCTTCTCCTTCAACCTCTCCTTTGCTTCGTCTCTATTTCTATCACAGTGCTCCATCAAATCATTCGTAGGCTGCATTCTATGTACATATGTACCTTGCTTAACTTCACACTCATGTGTACGCCTTCTTGGTTTGATACTAGCTAAGCATTTGGAGCACTCAGATAGATCTGTTCAGTTTGAGGCCAGGTATCCATATTCTTTCCCTCTACACAGTGGTACACACACACACACACCTTCCTCTGACCGATGGCGTGCACCAGACCAGACCTGCCCTGTGTCTTCAGCTCCTCCAGAGTTGAGGCTGCAGCTGCGGACAACCTGACAACGACCAACACTTCACTCTCACGACTCTCTCAATCGTTACAGTAGTATTAGCTGTACCTCTGTAGGTGTACGTCTTTCGATGGTTTGAACATGGAGATCACAGCATCCACAGTGTCCTAAGGGGCAGATTTAGTACCATTTTGCATACTACACGTCAACATGCACAGAGTTTTACGTATTGGCCTCTGCCTTGTGTGGTACAACTGGCATTGTTTAACACCCTGCCTTCCGGCATGTTGATGTAGTATGCAAAATAGTACTAATTCTATATTATAGTAGCTCAGTATGAAAAACACTTGGTCTAGAATGCAGCATCACAGATTGTCAGGACAGCGGCGGTTGCATACAAAGCCTTTGTCTTGCTACAGTATCGTTAAGAGCTACATATGAGTGTACATGTACTTACTGCATGGTAGGTGATTTGAATGGGGAGCAACTTCACTTTGAGCCTCTGACTGACTGTGCTGTTGACTGGGTTTATGTCCACACTCAAATCCAGTAGTGATGCTGAACACACAACACTTCAAGAGTAGCCGCTTTTTTCCTTTTAGTTCTTACCTTCCTCATTGTGTTTGGAAGAAACAATGATTGGTCCCTCACCCCCCGCCCCTGAGGTGCCACAGTCGAAACCGCGGGCGGTGAGCCGGCCCACAGTGGTCTGCACGGTGATGTTCTTACTGGACGGTCTGTTCTGGACCTGAGCTGTGACAGACGATGTCACCACATGAGCTAATCTAGAATGAGAGGAAGGTGAAGAAGTTAATATGGTAGCTCTGAGAACTGAACATGAAATTTCATGGACATATATGCATTCCGACCGACTACGGATGGTTAATGGATCGAACTCACGTTCCATCTTCGTTCCACAGTTGAACTGAAGCTTTCTCCAAATTGACTGACACACTGTGAGCCACATACTACAAATTTCAGCCAATAATGAATCAACATACAAGTTCACAAATGTCTACTCACTTCCTTGGGGTAAATGGGGACCTGTGCATTGTCACTATAGCCAATCGCCTCGTACATTCTCCTCTTCTCCTCCTGTAGTTCTTTCTCTGTAGCAGTCAGAAAGAAAGTTGAAGTACAGCTACTGTACTAAACGATTCATTGGGTGCGCAGTACAAAATCATAACCCTGGCTCATCACATTTCCTTGCTTCTCTTGCAGTGATTGGAGCTTGTTCCCACATGTGTGCATGGTGCATTAGCTCTATACAAACCTGTCGGCATTGTAACTGCCACACTTCTTCCTTCTCTTTCTCAGTGCTGCTGGTCCCCCAGCCAGCTGCCCACCCCCACCATCCTCCTCCTCCGCCCTCTTCCTTCTTGGCCTCCGCCTCTTCTTGCCGCTTTACTACTGCCGCCTGAAAACACAGTCATATGCAATACCAAAATTTTTTACTGAAAACTAGTAAACTTGATGCCGTGGGTGTATGGCTTCCTTTTGTTCACACTCATACATGAAATTGGCAGGCTTGACTCCTTTGCGTGTGTGTGCAAGCTAGCAAGTTGTGTAACAGCTAGAGTTGTACGTACCTTGCCCTCAGCAAGCTGCCGGCAGACGGTGAGATTGAAAACGTCCAATTTCATCTCCAGAAACTGAAATTAAGTCCACGCTATCTTCATTTCCCATTTCGTCTACTCTAGTTTCAATACTCACGTCAAGTTCTTTCTGAAGTCCCGAAGTAATCGTCTTTGCCACCAGCTTTCTGGCGTAGCTGTTTGTGTACTGTCGACACCACTTTCTAAAATAATGAGCCATGTGTCTCGTGTCACATGACAGTCACGTGAGGGTCACGTGTGTACCTGTGTTGCTGGATGTGTTTCCATGACCACATCTCCATCTTCCTCCTCACCTCTTCCTTGGTCACGGCGGAGATGGCATACCTCCACCATTGTCTCGGGTCCTCCTTCACCCTCACCCCTACTGGTCGGTACTTGAGGAACTTGAGGTTGATGCTCATTCTGTCCAGAGACTCAACTAGACTCGTGACATCTTGGAACTAAGAGAGAAGAAAAGAAAGACATGAATGATGCATAAAGAAGTCATCTACTTTATAGGAATGAATTAAGGACCAATTGTGTTTTCAGTGAAACAGCGATCATTGTGTTTACACTAAGTTATGCCACTAAATGCCAGGCCAGCTAAACACTACAATGGCAAATTAAAGTTGATCGAAGGGTTTTCAGGGTCCTGGCGTCTCCTGAGTAATACAACCGCTAAATATTCCAGACTCACATCCCAGGAATCACTCTCTCCTCTACCTGCTGTTTGCTGAGAGACAGAGCCACCTGGTGAAGAGTGACCTTCACAAGGGCCTGAGGAACGGCCATTTTCCTCCCCGGCTTAGTAGTGGCCTGGAGTCGTGCCTCAAGAGTGATAGGATGGACCACTGGTGAGGGGTACACACCACAGCTCTAACACAGACTGCATACAGCGGGTCTTGCCCTACCGTAATGTATGGTGTTAGATGGAGCTGCGTTAGGTCTTGCAATGCCCCTCTTCAAGATCTCCTAAGAGCAGAGGAGAATGAATTGCCTCACTAAGGAACTTATGAGGGAAGAAGAGAAGAGCTTTGCATGCAAAAGGTGCATTACAGAAGGCTATTAGACTTGTGTTAGTTTTCACCCTCTACAATCTCCAGTAGGACTATAGGACACCCTCCAACTTACCACTTCAGTGAAAAAGTTAAAAGCCTACATCATACACGCCCCCCCCCCTCACACGCACACACACACCGTCCAGTTATCGGGAGGGGAAGTCCCTAACAAAGAGTCGTCGCTCTGCCAGTAGACAGCGAGGCAGTTGAGCTGCAGTAACTTGTAGACGAGCATGGAGGAGGGGTCGGGGTCCACCGCCGTTCCTCCCACCACATACTCACAATCTGTACTCTGATATAAGATGGAGACACAGCAGAATGTGGTATGAATACATTGTGAACATTCGGACTACATACTATTGTTTACCTGTACAAACAGACTGTCAAGAGTGACTCCAAATGAAAAGGGACGTTCTACATTAGTGACCTGAACACACACACACACATACACACAGTTGTAAAGTACTGCAGTGTGTACTGAAGGTGGAAATACTAACAGAGTCCTCGTAGCGGATGTGTATGTTCTTGACGGTGATCTGTATGTTTCTGATGGCAGCAGTAATCAGCCTCTCCACAAACCCAGAGTCTTGACCCGTCTTCTCATCTGACGACAGAGTCAAAGTGTGTCAGAACATTACAACGGTTGGCTGAGGTCCCACACTGCATTAGAAGTGATTACTACTGTACTACTCACTTTTAGGTTCTGCTGCCCGCTTTCTGGCCTCTTCGATCCTCTTTAACTGTTTGTCCTTCCGCTCTTTACTCTCTTTGGCACTCTTTTCAGCATCGTACTTAAATGCTGAGAAAGTATACATACAGGCTTATGCATATTATACAGTGGGAGGGTATATACATATCATACCAGTGGCAGGCTCGACGATGGCATACAGGCCGTCAATCTCAGCAACTATGGGTGAAGAGTACAGGCTCTTCCACGGTATCTTGAGCCTCAGTTTCCCTATAGAAGACACAAACATTAATGTGCGCATACAACCTCGTTCTGTGCATATGCCAACTGAGAGTGTTTGTGATGATAGCTTACCCAGATAGCCCCGGAACACACGCACCGGGAGGTTAAGGTCATCCTATGAAGACGAAAGCACATGTGTAATGGCAGGTGTGTGTGGTTGCATGGAGCTCCATACTCACCAGTGCATTCTCTTTTAGCTCCAGGTTCTCTAGCAATACATCTCCTGTTGACAAATACCATACATTTACTACAGATGAGAGTAGATACAGAGCAGATGCAGCTACAGGTTTACGAACAGTTAGCTACATAGCTACGTTTTTCAGAAGCCCTATAAACTCGTATTGTAAACGCAGCAACACCTGGAGGACTCTTGGCAAGTAAAGTGGGTGAGAGGAACAGTGTAGCTCGCAGTGTAGCTGCTAACCTAAAGTAGTTTGCTAGAGTGGCAAAACCTGCGCAGATAGCTAGCTATGTATGTCTCAACGTCTTTCCCATTTAGTACGCACCCGAGAAAATTGCAACTTTGAGCTGAGACGGGTCTAAGTTCTTCACGTAGGGACGGAGGAAGTGGTTTAGCACTTGTACCAGCACGCCTTCGAGCACCATCTTCTCCCGGTTTCAGCAGACGCCGCAAACCCTAGCCCTCCGTCCTTTGTTGTGGCAGGTAGGCGCGGAGGTATTGCGTATTGTATTGTGTAATGCGTGTTGACTTTGTGTGTTGTACTATATGTACTGCATGCTGAGGATTTCTATACCATGTATCTTAGTATGCTACAACGTTTGGTAATAGCTGCACCAAAGGCAGCCAGAGCTCCGACCAAGCAGGTTGTATATGCAGAGAACCAAGGGGTGCTCAGAAAATTGGATGTCGCACGCATCACGCATGCGCAATGGCCCCGGCCTATATATCACGTGATCCCCTAGCAACAAAAACGCCGCGTTCCCGCGAGGTTGCCGGGAGTTTTACGAGACCGTGGTCTCTGGCGCCGAGGAGTGCATCACTGCGAGAAACGATCGATATCCTTTACTAGGAAGCTGTGGGCGAAGCGGGAGCGTCATGAGCGCGGCGGCGACCCTTGGCCTGAAGATGCAGGTCTCTCCGGACACCTGGAAAGGCGCAAGTGCCCACAACATGAAGCTGAGCCAGGCAATCATCGCTCGCTGCGACCAGGGAATGAGGATCAGCCGCCGGACGGACCCGCTCCCGCTGCTGAGAGACGCGTGTATCAGGGAGTCCAACGACCGGATCCACGCCTACGTGCGTGCCACGAGAGCCGTTGTTGTTCAGCTCCGACAGAAACTGGTGGCCACGAACGAGGAGATCAAGGCGCTCACTCGAGGGAAAGAGGCACTGGAGAGATCTCTAGAACACACGCGGAAGGACCTGGCCCTGAGCCGCCAGTCTGTCGAACTCCGCGGCCTCAGACCGTCAAGAGAAAAGGTAGGAGGGGCTGCAGTACACACGTGTCGTGTCATCATCATGTAGTAGTAGTAACAAACACTTACAAAAACGGGGAGGGGCTCATTATTTGCAAAATCCTTCCTCTTTTTAGGAGCCTGATGCAGCGGACCTGTGCCTCCTAGAGGAGCAAGCGCACCTGCTGTCGTCCAAGCGGTCGCTGGAGGTTCAGCTGAGCAAGGCCCAGCAGCAGCTGCAGGTGCTGAGTCTGACCCGAGCGCGTCTCGCCGCCGTCCTGCAAGAGAGGTCGAGGGTCACAGACCTCCTGTGCCACTCCATGAGCTCCACGGTAGCCGTCTCCCACTTCTCCTCCTCCTCGTCCCAGATCTTTGACCGCCAGAGAAAGGTGCAGTCTCAATTACTTGCGCGGAGAAACGCTGGGAAAGCTACATAGCGCGTAATCCCAAACTTTTGAGAGGCTTAATGAAAGTTCTTTTTCACAGACATCACAGTAAGGTTTGGTAGGGTACCGAAGGCTCTAAAATTTCTATTTCCCAAAACATAAACCCCAGTCACAAAAGGGGGTACCCGTGAGATTAGCTTAGAGTATACTCTGTAATAGGGAAACCTGCAAGTATTTGAGCGCCCATTAAGTGTGTGTGCATTCCCAACATTCCAAATGTCTGTGTGGATTTGTGTGCCTATGATTAATGGTAGTCTCCCTACCTGGCCTCCCTGCTGTCCTGATTGCATTCATAACCTACAACTACACATCCCCTCATTTATTAGATTTCGCTGCCTTTCAAAGTTAATAGTCTGTTTGATATCCCACTCTTTTTGCGTTTGCCTTTCCTGCACGAGACGTCTGGCACTTTGTGTAACTCTGTGTGCAGGTTGGATTTCTGCCTCAGTCTCTGGTGCCTGGAAACGAAAGACTGCAGCGCTCAAAGAGTGCGCAGGGGTCGTATGGGGTACAGAGGTCAAAGTCACACTCTGCCCCGGCTCCACTCCATTTGTCTGTCATACGAGAGGAGACTGAGGGACACAGAGGGAGCCTCGGGCCAAAAGAATTTGAAGAAAAACAAACCTGTGAGTGCTACATTTAGTGTCCTGCCATGAACAGCGGAGTGGGTGTAGGTTTGTTGGTTTGCCTTTGCTTTGCTTTGGTAACGCATGCAACAGGTAAAGTAGTGTCTCCCTAACCTTTCTTCTTTTAGCTTTCAACTCCTCTATTATGTCCCTATTGAAATACACGTATGTACGTACCATGTACCACATGGTGAAAAAAGAATAAAAGTCGTCATGCCAGGATTCGACACTGCATTACAAACTACACAGTTACTACTCGAATCCCTTCTCCAGATCTTGATCCGTACGAGACGTTTTCCCCCGAGTCGCGAGACTCGGTTCAGCTGGCGTCGGAGGCCATTCTGAAGTCCCAGGAGATCAGGAGGGAGCTGCGGGCTGCCGTAGACAACAAGAAACTCCTCCAAGTATCCGCTCACAACACCGTCAACGAAGGACTCACCAGAAAACTGGCTGAAACTATCACCATCACGGTGAATTTTGTTACTGATTCCGTACAATTGAGAAATGCATTAAAGGGAATGTGGCCTAAGTTTACTAAAACGGAAACCTAACTGTATTGTTGCACTGGACCCTATTGCCATCTTTAGCCGAAGTGGAACTCCTCTAATCCAGACACCAATTGGACAGAATATAGTGTCCGTGTGTTGGAGAAGTGTCTTTTTGTCTTTCCTGGCATATACACAATGAGCTTGAAAAAGGTGGTCAGGTAAATATTGTACCTCCACTAACGGTATTACAGCCCATCTTTCCTCGATCGAGGAAATAAACTTGCCACCAGTGTTGCACCGATAATGGGTGTCCACAAACAGTAATGGCTTTTGAGGTAAACACAACTCGGTCGGCACGCGGCTGCACAACGGGGGAACAACAGTCTCCTGCACCATAGGCCATTGAGAAGGAGGTCACGTACATGTATAGTGTTTGGTAAGTGAGTGTTTCAAGGGTTAATAAGCCCATCAGGGATAAAGCTCAAGATCAAACACTGCTTAATTGGGTTTGTGGCACTAGCCCAACTGACTTTTGGTATACACTTAATGGCTCACAGACAAACACACACACACACACTACATACTAGTGCGTACAGTGATGGGCTGGTGTGTGTAGGTGTGCTAATAAAACTGTTGGACCTGATACCTGATAGCTGGGAGGCATGGCACACGTGGCATAATACATACAGTAGTGTAGTGATGCAATACTAGGAGCTAGAGCTACGTACATGTATTGTTTACATGAGGCAAACTGGAGGATAATAGGTACACACCCTCCTCCACTGCCTCCCCTGCCTTTAGTACGCGGAATGCAGGACGCAGGCACAACACTACAGTTATGGATGTGGACTACTGCAACGAGCACTTACATAGATACGAACTGCATGCACCCTTCTACGAGTAGAAGCTCTTTTATCTCTTTTTCCGTCCTCTTTCTATCCCACACCGCAGCAACATCTGCAGGTGAATGCCGGCCAGACGAGTTTGGCCGTGCACAGAGCTCGACGGTGCCTCGAGACCCAGGAGAAAGGACACGGTTACTTACTGGTGAGGAGTCCCTTAATATAACGTACTCGAGGAATGCAGTTGGCGAGCGAGCGCGAGCAGTTCGCGTGTGTTTTGCGCGTATTTAGAATCACATAGAACATTACGGTATGTGCAGTGCCCATGCAGAGCCGTCACATCGAAAATTCCCGCATTGAAACAACTGTAGGTAGACTCACTTTGCTCCCCAATAATGTAATTGCTCATATTACGCTCGTGCTATTCTGTATAACTGCTGTGGTGATTAGTCGGCAGGTGGTTGAAGGTGGGGGGCTGTTTGCTCTATGTCTGATGCTGTACCAAACACACGCTCCCACTCCGTGTGCGTACGTACACATTTTCTAAGTTACTCCCCACTGGCGCATCCTTAATCTGTTAGTTCCGCACAGCTGCAATTTTGTACAAATTCACATACTTTCTCCTTGGCCATCTCCCCACTGATATCGTGCACACATAATAATGGTTCATATGCACCCAGGAATCGGTGGAGCTTCTGTACTTACAGTACAAGTAAAAAAGGCCCCTTTACAGACTGCTGCATAAAAGTCACAACATTTCTTTTTGTTTCAAAGAGGAAAGAATGAAAAGCATGGCTTAGTGTTAGACAAACACGAGCCGTGGGGCTCCCTTCCTCCTTCATGTTTACGGGAGCTGAACAGCCAGTGTTTACTAACAGGCAGTGTGTGAGTTAGAGACGAAGCCCTGCTCTCGCTAAAACACACACACACACAAACTTGCAATGTGTGTGATAGGCTGATGAGGAGCCCTCGTGCTCTTGAGAGGCCCCCAAAGGCCCACTTGGAACCTTGCCAGCTAGATTGGTGATAGGCAGCGTAGCCACAGCACAGCACAGCAGCACACTCTCTCCTTATGGCGGTATATAACTCAGCTGGTGGACGGAGTGCCTTGCCTGCCCTTGCCTCCCACTCTTCTTTCTTCCCCGGTGCGTGTTTAGTCTCGTCATGCATGTGTGTGGGAACTGCAGTGGAACCTCGGCATTAAAGACGTGCTGGGACAATGAAAATTATCCTTGATACGGATTATCCTTGATACGGAGGTGTACTTTACTCAGAGGTTAAATACTACACGAAAGTATTAGCACCGGATTGAAACCAGTGTCTTTATAAAGAGGTGCCCTTCATTCGGGGTGTCTTTTATAAGAGTAGGCATGGGCATGGTGTATACCTAGCATCATAGATGTATATGTATTATACATTGCCATGTATTCTGTGTTGCTCAGGGTCCGGAGTCCATCGCCAATCTCACCACTAGAGAGAGGCTGGACAGACCGCTGGTGAAGGTCTACCAACGGCACCCCAGCACAGAGCTGCCAGAAGCAGCACACTTTGCACAGGTATAATAATTATCCGTGTGTACGACACCAAACACTTCGCATTTCAGAGGTAGAAGTGAACAAGAACATCCAAGGAATATAGGGATGGTATAAAGAGGAAGAGGGTGGGATGTAGATATACAAAGCATGGTTTACGGACAGATTGTGAGCACACTGACACCCCCGGCCCCATCACACAACCCCCATATTGTTGCCTGGTTTGATGGTCGTTTGCTACATGGATAACCGTGGTAATTCTAGAGCTAATACATGCAGAAGGTCCCGACTCCTGGAAGGGACGTATTTGTGCCACTCTCAATACCATATTATTATTATGCAAGTTGCAAGCGTAAAACTATGTACACACTCTTGTATGGGTGTTATGAGGGGGTTTCATGGGTCTGTCGGTTACTCATTAGCAATTACAGGCCGTGTGTCCATAGAGGGAACCAGCAACATAAGAGAGTATCAAAGCAGTCATGGGGTTGCAAAGGGAAGGAAAGTGGTTTGTGGCCCGGGCTTCAAAGGAGAAGGCTTACCACCAACTGTGGTAATATTATAATGATGACACGGCTCTACTCCACGGTTCAATGTAATTTTCTCAGAAAAACCTTTCTGTGGTGCCAATTCAATTGCGAATGGCGGAATTTTGCGATGCTGTCTTTGGGTTACGTGACAAGTGCCGGTAATTGAGTTGTGTGTGTGTTTGAGCTGAAGGCAATATCACAGTTGTTGTTGGCACACAAAGTAATTTCTTGCATTTCAGCCCGACTGTCTGGGTCTATAAGGTTCAGACAACCACGTGCTTGCATGTTGTTGAGATATAATTACCGCTCTTTTACATCATCTGTAATTACACACACATGCCCACACACACACACATGCACATCAGGCCAGCGCTGCTTATACAGAGAGTCTGCAGGCCACACGAAAGAACGTCATGCTCCTCCGACTCGCCCAAAAGGGACTCCAGGCGGACATCAGGGACAAGAAAACGGCGGCCGAGGTTGATTCGGGGATCGTCCGTCTTCGTCGCCAGAAGGCCAGTCACAGGTGGGTTCTGGACGGCCAGTCTTCGTCGGTCAAGAGGGCAGTCAAGCTGTACAGCAGAAGAACAAGCTCGGCCCCAGCAGCCCCGTCTGCCAACGGTGCCGTGTCCGTGAGGGAATCTATTCAAAAAGAGAGGTGGTGGAAGGCGAGCAACCACAGCAGGTCCACCGACTAACCACCACTGATTACTACTTTCGTTTTTCTGAGTGCATTCATTTTCGATTTGTACTCTGATTGGTTTCATATAACGTGGCACAAGACTTCACTAGTTTTTTTATTTTATTTTCCACTGTCATGTATTGTAGGCATAGTTAAAAGGTGAAAGTGGCTCTAAGCCACAGCACAGTTTTCAGGAGACTTTTAGTCTTTGTATCGATTTCCACTCACTCTATTGTGACGATTGCATATACTCTTTATGGTCTAATGGGTGGATAATACATACTCAGCAGCAGCGCACAAGCGAAGACGCAATGTCTAGACACTTGGACTTCATTTCCAACTGCATCGTATGGCAGCACTAGTATAGCTATACGTTCTCTCTGAAGTGGTGTATTTTGGCTTGCATCAATGTACACTCTTTGTTAAGACGCAGTGTTTTACCTCGTGCTTGTAGTAAACATGCTTCCTCGCTAATTACGCCCACCCCCCGCGTGCGTGTCTACGTGTGCCAAAAAGCATTTCTGCACCAATCAGTCTATTTCCTACGCACGTACGTATAATTATTACACTCGGCCCCTGTTATTATGTCAATAGATGTAATAATGGTCATTGTATGACAGAGAGAAGTGAAGAGATATCTGTGTATGACACGATAGAGATATATACAAACATGTGATGAATCATTCTTGAGCACTTTAATCTGTAAGGCAAAGGTAGGCAATTAATCAATTTTATATGGAGAATTGTTTGCTGTTTAAAGCAGTGAGATCAAACAAACTAGTTTTTAATGCAGAACCCTGGCAGTATATTTACCTGCACATGGCTCGTTCTTCCTTGTCCCTACGTATTTCACCTACCTTGGTTGTGTTTGTCCAATATGACCAGAAGCATAATACACACGCACACAAAGAGAGTAGACACACAGTTGACGCGACAGAACTGCACAATTTATTGACTTTGTCTTCTCTGCTCCATTGCGTTCCCTATCCAGCCCTCTAGCTTTGTTTCGTACTTCATTCTGTTCAGATTCCACGGGGACACTAAACTGTCTGTCGGCGGTAGATACCACCCTCTATCATTGCAGTAGCCGGCCACTAGGTATACGTTTTCACCAGCGGTTGTGTTGAAGCCGGGGCACGGCGGACAATGTGAGTAGGAGGTCCTGATTATGATGTATGTGTGGTTCTCAAAGTGAGAGCAGTTCTGTGAGTCCAGCACCCAGTAGCGGGTTATGACTGCTAGGAATGCATGACGGTCCGTCGTTCCAAGGCTGCTGCTGCTAATGACTGTCACATTGGCAGCTACAGAAAAGAATTCATACCGTGAGGTTTTGAATTGTTTAGCTGGAATGAGTATACATAGAAATTACACTTTTGTATCATACAGCCAACATTGCATACCTAGCGAAGTGCATGCGAGTGAAGTAAGTCAGCGCTATGCCTCAATAGTTATGTACCTCAACAGAACTCTTAGGACCGCCATAAGTACTTAGGTATATGGCCATAATCACCCCCCACAACCAAAGACACCTGCCACTGCAGGAGGGACCAAGCATTAGGCTGATTTCCAGATTTCAAAGAATGTGGCTATAGAGCATCAGGAATGTGGTAGAGGAACCCGAGAAGAGCAGGTGCAGCGTTACTTGTTGAGTGTGCAAACCTGCACCTACCACCTTGAAATACGATTAAGACCCGTAATAATAACAGTAATGAAGCCGCTATTAGATCACTGAAGCAAGCACCGTGTGGGAGCTTTGCAGTGTTGACCGCAACCCACGTTCTCATTGGAGCGTCGTACTAAACAGAAACCTTGAGTTACTGTGGTGCTGTACCTAGCTTCCCTGATCTTAAACAGTACTTGATTTAGCTACCCCCCCCATTTGTACTAATTGTTCACACTTACATTGTAAAGGGCACTTACTAGATGTAAGTATTTCTCATATTATTGAAGAGCAAACTTTTAAAACTTGTATAACAGTTAAGCGAGAAAAGGGTGCTGCAATCTATAAAAATAGCTGGTAGGCTTGTCATGGGAACGGCATGCCTCCCACATTCCCTGTAAGCCTGACGAGGTCGCTGCTCCTCTCACCGCATGGGTTTAGCATTGCTACCACTGCACCCTCTGTAGCTTCACTCAATGCTACTCGCTTTATGTACGTACATATATAGCTAGCAAATCAGTTTTCGTAACTGCATAAATTATAACCACCTCACCCATACTATAGTGAGGATTGAAATTTGAGTAAAGGAAACATTGTCATTGTCTGACAATGCATTGAACTCACCAAAAGTGTAGTCGTTATTCCTGAAGGTCCCACCATTTGCTCTTGTACGGAATTTGCATCTTGAGTGGCATTGTGCTGTAAAAATTCAAAATACAAAATGCGTATGTAGCTAGGTCAAAACTCCAAAATATTCTCTGGAAAAAAATATGGCTTACGAGCAGGAGGTTCAGGTGTGTTGTTGGGTGTGCTCGTTGTAGTAGTGGGTCTAGTAGTGGGCCGACTCGTGGTAGGAACGTTGGAGGTTGGGCTGGATCCTGAAGTCGGTGCTGATGAAGTCGGCGTCGGGGCCGGCAGAGTCACTTGTTCAACAGCCGACCTGTTGACGCACAGATGGTCATCGTGGGAAGAGTTGAACTTTGCGCATTCCAAGTGCTCGGGCCAGGTTATGTTCCTTTCTCGCAGAAAATCGTCGCAGCCAGTCCGCGCTCTCTGGCACGTCTCGCGGCACGGAGTTGCTATGTATTTGAGGGGCAGGCCCGGGCGACACTGCGGAAAGTAGTGGAAACAGAGCAGCGACCACATCTCGAGGTAGCAGCCTGGCGGCTTGAGGTTGAAAAGAGTGTAATACTGCATGAATTCTCTCTTGGAGCCCTCCAACGTCATACCGCGGCTGTTCGGGAACTTTGCGTACCGCTCGCCCTCCGTCCGGTTGAACATTACATTGCACGGATGATCGTCGAGGACTACGCACTCGGCACCCAGCGGGTCCCGCTGCTGGAAGGCCGGGTAGAACCAATGCCGCCGGTTTGCAGGAAGGCCGTGGACCGCGCAGAACAGGAGTAATCCCAGAAATAACCTTGCAATAGTTAAATGTGGAGTCATGGTGCTGGTGAGGTGAAAGAATCTCATGCGCGGGTTCGACGCGCGATTTTGTAGTTTGCCGAAATGTTCCATTGCGCATGTGCAAAACGTGCGCATTTTGCGCGCGCAATTTTGAAGACTCAGAGAGTGATAAAAGTGGATGGCAATTTGACATTGAAAAATTTTCATGAGAATTGTTATGTGATTTCAAATGAATCAGTACATGGTTTGGTTTGTTGCTGGGTTGACCCATTCCCCCACACTGCTGTAGCTCTTCCTCCACATGGAGAGGAGTCCTCCCTTGCGGTAGTTGGGAAGATACATTCCTCTCCCTCGTCCTAGACCCTGGACATGTCGACCGGCAATCAGGTACTCCTCTCCACTGCGAAAGTCCAGGACGCAGTCTCGGCAGACGGGGATGGAGTAGCGCGTGTGATTCTCTTCAGGACACACGTGAGGCGACCCAACTTCCCAGCACTCAATGATGACTGTGTCGAGCACTGAACTGTCGTTGGAGTCAATGCGTCCAATTGCCTCAATGTGAACAGCTGAAATAGTGAAAATGTGTCTACAACAAGACAATAATATATAATTATCACCCTAAACGTATGGGCACAAGGCGTAGACAGTGGCATGTACTGACAGAGATGCAAGTAATCAGGTTCAATTAACTCCCCTGTAACACCCCCAAATTGCAAATCCCTAGGGCTTATGCGGCGGAGGCAAAAACTGGGTGACCCTAAAGAGAGACTGACCGAAGGTGTACAAGTTTTGTGAGAAAGTGTTGCTGTTGGCACGATTTCTGATGCTGCACCTGCCCCTACACTCGTCTTCCGGTATGAATGGCTCTGCAGGTCAGACATAACATGGCAGACACATGTACAGCTATGAGCTATGGTATGAAACGGCTTAATTGAGGGCGGTATGATAAGTAATTTTTGCTTATATTTACTCATTGGGCGTGTGGACTTCGTAATGAAGGCCCTAGACAGAAGATTGGACCTATTTCTCCATGAGTAGCAATTATAATTATCTCACCGTCATCATCTATAATAATGACTTCAACTGAAACACTTGAACTTCCTGCCCGCCCGCTGCCAAAAGTAACTTGAAGAGAAGAAGTGGAGACAGCCTCTATACTGAACGCCTCTCTTCCTTCTCGTAAGTAGTCGTTGAGGATGGTGATTTCTGTGCAGCGCTTTCTTCCCTTGACGCTCCCAGCAGGGAAAGTCAGCAGTGTCGTTGGTAAATAGTAGTCGTCTTCCCGGTTGGCTGGGAGAATAGAAACAAAATTGATGCCAGCTGTGTATATAAATACCACCACCATGTTCAGATGGTTACGAAATGCTTCAATGACAAAAATGTGCCCCGTTTGAAAACCGTTTGAAAATCAAAGGAGGGACTTGGCAGGGAATGGGGAAGACGGACGGAGAAAATGGCAGAGTTGTTTTAGTCTAGGCCACACCACTTGGTATGTATGTAGTTTATCTAAGACTGTCTGAGCAGAAATGGCTGATTAATAATTGTTTAATGTCTGGCCGCTCAGGTCAACACATTTAGAGTATGGACATGATTAGTTGCATGGTGATATATTATAATTGCACTGCATGATAACCACACACGGGGCAGTTATGAAACAAACCAGGGGGTAGAAAAGAGGTCTTTGTCTCTCTGGGAGACAGCCTCAAGGTGACTGGTTGGCTGAGGGCGGCAGTAGAATCATAGGAACCAATATTTGCCAACACAACACATATCTCCAATGAGCTCTCATTTTCCAAAGCCTGGTACACACGACCTCCAACAGGAGGGCAGAAATCAATGTGAATACCTGCAGATAAGGTCAAGGAATGTTCTTCAAGCTACCTGTTCAGAAACTCACTTGGACTTTGGGGATTGAGGTTTATCTGGCCCTCAGAAGCGGAGCAACAGGGGTCTATTGTCCTGGTTCCATTGGAGTCGCTGGTCATGAGGCAGGAGGTGATCGAACTTGCCTTTGAGAAGCTGGTGCAATTGAGAAATTTGGGAAAGGTATTCTCGAACGCTCCGCCGTACAAAACGTGGGCATACGGCAGACAAGCCTCTAACGCCTCGGTGCAAAGCTGCCGGCTGGGCGTCACCCATTGATCGGGGCAGCTCGGCGAACAGAGCGGGAAGTAGTGTAGGCAGAGCAGATTGTGGAGCACGTTAGAACAGTAGTTGTCCTGGTAGAGCAGAGCAAAGAAATTGAAGAAATCCACGACTGAATCGTCTCTGTTGAGTCCGACATCGTTGGGGAACCGCCCGTACCACGTCGCCAGGCCGAAGTGGTCTGCGCACGTGCTGCTCCGTAGCTCCCGGCATTCATACCTCGTCTCGTGGACATTTTCGTTGGCGAGTGATGCTCCAGCACTCATAAAAACGAGGAAGCATAAGCATAAAACAGGCATCATCGAAAATCTCTCGCACACCACGAAGTGCAACAACCTGCGCAGTCTTCGGCATGTAATTGAAAGTCATGCGCGCGGAAGTTCGCGCATGCGCATGTGTGCGCTTGTGATGTCCCATAATAGTCATTTGCAGTCAGATGGAGTAAAGTCCAACCACCGCCCACTGAGGTCTGAACTAAGTAGTCCTTTCTTCCTGTTGTTGGAGATGAAAAGAGAGCCTCTCTCTGTATGGCTTCCAGCAATAATGAATTCCTTCCCAACAGAGTGACCATCTAATTGACAGTTGGGGCAAGTAGCTAATTTGGTGCAGACAGGTGCCTTAGGGCATACTCCGCAGGTTATGTTACGGCATTCAATCATGTAAACCTCCAGCACTGAGTTGCCCGTGTCCACCACTTGCACTCTCGCCACTGTGAACCATACCAGACATACACAGATTAGTATATTGTATAATGCTCAGTACACACACAAAAGTGTGGACTTTGTGTTTGCACACATCTATAGCAACAGGTTTGTCGCTAGTCTAGACTTGGGTTGGCATCACTACTAAAAATGCTACCAACCAAATGAGTAGTGGTTGTCGGTGAATGTATTTCTGCTGATGTTGGTTCTCCAGTTGCACAGTACACTTCTGCACTCGTTTCGTGGGATTTCAGGCTCTTGGCTAAGGGCCGGGTTGTATGATGGTCCTGGCTCTGCTGGCTCAGAGAAAAGGAGAAAACCGTCTTGATAGCTATGATAATAGGCAGATTGAACTCACTGTTACATTGGTCAAGTATTTTCACTGTAATTGAATCTGTTGTGCTCGCAATATCGCCACCAATTATTGCCCCGCTGGGAGACACGACAGACGCTGACACTCTGAAGAACATTATACGCGATCCTCTGTTGATGTGTATTATAGTACAACGAATATTGCCTTTTTCTGCACCCACAGGAAACACAAGGTTTCTACTCTCTGCGACATACTCACGTGCAACTTCAGCTGAGAAAATAGAATATTTAACCACAAGTTAATGCATTGATTCTAACTAAGCCAACTCACCCGGACTTATAATTTCAACTGTAACATTTTCAGCTAGTCTGGCGTCAGGGTCATACGATCCAACATTGGCCAATCTGAGGCAAATTTCTACCGATTCGTTACCGTAAAACACAGTCTTGCCTGCATCAGTTGCAAACTCCACATGTATTGCTGCAGAGACTCAATCATGACCACACAAATTTAATTAAAAACTAACATGCGTTGGGGCAGGCAGTTATGCAGTCACAATGAGCAGCTTTTTCAACAACACGGCCACTGCGATCAGAGGAACCCCTCGATGGAAAATTGCTGCAATTGAGGTGATCAGGAAACGTGTAGCTGGGTTGTATTGCCCGGGCGTGCTCAGTACACGACGTCAGTGCCTCGTTGCAGGCCTCACGGCACGGTATCGCACCCAGCTCCGGTCGACTTCCCTCACATTTTGGAAAGTAGTGAAAGCACAGGAGGTTGTACAGCATGTGCGAACAATAGTTATCCAGAGCGAGGAACTGGTAAAAGTCAATGAACTCCTTTTCGGCTCGAGTCAAGTTCTGGCCTCTCCCGTTGGGGAATCGACCGTACCAGTCCCTCGTGTGAAAGTGCGACGCGCAGATACTGGGTGAAATCGCTTCGCATCGACATTGACGCTGTGGCCCTACTGGCTTGAGATTGCCGTTCGTAGCCGTCAGTAGAACAAAAAGAGCGAAAGCTCCAGCAACTGTCTGCGATATCATTTCAAATTGATGCACGTTGTCGGAGAGTCTTTCTGTTCTTTTTTATGCAGCTACGTAACCAACGACCGTTTTCTGCCTGCCCATGCGCAGAGGACGAATCAAACTAAGAGCCGAGGGTTGCGCTGATTACGCGCGCTAGTCTGTCCCTGAACCTACGTAGCTACCACTTCCCTCTACAGTTGGACATTGTCAAGTCCTGCTGTCACTGGTTCCGATCAATGGACGAATAAGTTAAAAGCGCGGTGGCACTGGGTCACACTTCGGGAACGAGCAACGGGTTGAGAAAATCGTCCCTGGTATATACGTACGTAGGTCTCTGGCGGTGGGAAATCGAGCGTAAGAATTATCGTGAGCAACTATCGAACCTTGCCACGGCACTGCCGAGGCGCAAAGAACGACTATCACTACGCTGCACTTACGCCCCCTCTGCATAATATAGCCTCGGCAAAGCGGCGCGCGCTCCACGCGTATATCTAGTCCGCGACTCCCCCGCCGGATTAGTCACTTTATAGCGCTGACTGACTTGTTCGTAAGATAGCAGCTAGGATGAAAAATAACGATTGATTATATATATTCGGGATGAAGCACAACATTACAACGACATTTATCATACTGTTAGCTATTAGCATATCAACAAGTAGGCAGAAAGTCTCTCCAATTAGAACGGATCACTGAAGTAAATAGTCCCTTTTTTTTGGTGTTGTTGATGTACATTGAGCCACAGTCATCGTGGACTCCAGCAATGAGCACCTCTCCAGTGGAACACGTAGGTATGCAGTTGGAGCAGATGGCTATAGTGGATGTTGTCAGAGGGCACATTGTACAGGTGCTGATGTGATGGCATTCCCGGATATTCACCACAACCGAATCCCCACATTCTACCACTTCCACAAGAGCAACTGCAGTAGCAATAAATAATAGTAGCATAGCCAGCGGCTCTCTCATATAATTTGCTAGTGTTAATTCTGTTGATAGGTAGATTTAGGTATGTTAATATCTCACCAAAGGTGTATTCATTGTTCCTGAAAGTGTTTCTACTGACACGACCTGTCCTCCAGTTACAACCCTGACCGCTACAGTCATGATCCGGGGTACAAGGCTCAGGTGATGGGCTTGGTGTAGGTGGTGACAGTGTCTTTGTAGGTGGGGGATCTAGTGAGAATACAAAATAACTAGCTAATCTACACTGTCTGAGATTCCTCTTACGATTTTGGATTTCAACCAACATAGACCCAGTTGTACTGTGTGCAGCTCCACCAAACTTTGCGTCAGAATGGGAGGTGATGTTAGCAACAACTTCAAAGTACTCGGCAGGCTCGTTTATGTCATCACAGGGGGTTTCAATCTCGATACTCATAGTGAAGCCTTTCCTGGAACCCACTGGTATTTTTACTTCCCTCTGTAGTAGTACATAGTCGACTCCTGCCTCAGCTCGGACTGAATCGTGGTAGGAGAGATATATTGCAATTGTAGAGTTCACTAAAAGGTTTACCTAAGCGAAGGTTTGTTGTAGGAGCTGTTGTGATGAGAACTGTGACATTTTCTGTCAGTACGTCCTCAGAGTCATAAGATCCAACATTGGCCAATCTCAAATGAACAGAGGCTGATCCATTAGCTTCTGAACCAATAAATTTAGACTGACCAAGTTCGGTTACAAACTCCAAATGTATACCTGCAATAATAGGGGTTGATATTCTGTGAAAGGATTAGGTTTATTGGCTTACTTGCGTTGGGACAGGCTGGGCATTGGGTACTGCATTGACCCTCTAAAGGAACATCACAGTCGCCCGAACCAGACGGAAAATTGCTGCAGTTGAGATGAGCTGGAAACACGTAGTTGGGGTTTCTTACTCTCGCTTGATCGATACACGTCGTCAGCGCTTCGATGCACGTCTCTCGACACGGCGTCGCATGATGGAGCTGCTGCCGTTGTGGCGGTGGCGGTGACGGCGGCGGGTCACACTTAGGGAAGTAGTGAAAGCACAGGAGGTTGTATAGCATATGCGAGCAGTAGTTGTCCAAGGAGAGTAATTGACGAAAGTCTAAAAACTCCCGCAGGGCGTTTGTAAAATACTGGTCTCTTGCGTTGGGAAATCGAGCGTACCAGTTAATATTGTAGTGAGTCTCGCAGAGGCCGCTTGCCTGTACACACGGACAGTCCTCGTCCGAAGGCTGCACCTTTTTGACATCTGCCGAGGCACAAGCCGCGGCGCAAAGAGCGAACAACCCAAACCAACCTCTCATGTCTTCGTGGCCGGCAACTAGCGAGACACCGTCGCTGATTTTTTATATAGCCAATCTCTTGAGCTGAGGCGGCTGGCATGCCTACGCCCCGGACGCCAATGGCTTCGTCGACGTGCCGGGACGCCCGGCCCGGCCCACAAGCGCGCATCATTATAGAGCGCGCAGAGAGCGCGCGTAGACGCCACTATACTATCCGCGCAGCCGCGCCGCCGCGACGCGCGCTCGCTCTATACAGCAAATATAAAATGTGAACAGCTCTGCAATGTGCGTATATATACTTGGTCCCTATGTATCGCAGTCTGAGTCTGGTGTCCTAAAGTCAATGCCAAACTGAACCCAGTCCCCTATTGAGCCGTACTTCCTGTCATTCCACTCTCCAATGAGCCCTGCCTTCTTATAGTTGGGCAGGAACATGCCCACTTCTGACTGGTGCAGGCCGGCAATGAGGTACTCTCCACCCTCCGTCACATTGGTCATGCAGTTTTGGCAGGATGGGATGGAGAGACGTGTGCTGTTTGCCACACAGACTCCGGGTTGAAGCTCCCAGCACTGAACCACTGTCACATCCAGGGCAGAACACCCCTGGAGGTCTCGTTCTCTTATCAATTGCACACGAGCAGCTGCAGGGAAGGGGGGAGTGTGATACAATGTAGTCCAAGAGCTCTGAATGCTCTGCTAACCGTAATCAAAGCAGTTATGTCTGAAGATGCCTTTGCTTGCATTGTCCCTCATGTCGCAGTTCCGTCTACACTGTCCAGCTGCCATAGTACACTCTGTGGGAGAAGTCACGGGCACATAAAACAATGTGTGTGTGTAGTCAGAAGGTATACTGTATAAATTGGGAACTAACCATCATCATCGCGAATGATGACATCTACAACGGCAGTCTGCTGATAGCTGCCAGCAAATCGAACAGAACTTGGACTGTTGACAGTGGCCCGAATGCTGAACGATTCGTCTGCTTCAATGAGACCGTCAACAGAAATAGACACGTTGCCACACTGTGTGTGTCCAACCCCACTGCCAGCAGGAAACTCTACGTATACTTCCTCCAGACTGTAGTCCAACTCTCGTTCGGCTGCGTAAGGGGAGACACAGGTCAGCAGACTATCAAAGAACATCCTGTGACATATATACAGCACCCACACCAGGGTATAAAGTTTACTAGCTTTTTATCAATTAACCCACAAACCCTTTATATCAGTATACCTCTGACAAAGATGGTTGATGTTGTCTGAATGGGGGTCAAGGTCACACTGAGTGGGTCACTCAGCACTGCCTGATACTCACTCGTGAGCACCAAGCATATCTCCAGCCTGCCTCTGTCTTCCTTGCTTTCATACATGGCCCTTCCTTCTGGCAGAACAAAGCCGACATGGATCCCTGCAGGGTAGAGACCACAATCCAATCACACATCTTGCTATAAAATCTTGGCTTGACGGGTAATCTAAGTAGTTACAGATCAATTACGAGCATCCCCACCCTAAAAATGGGTGAACCCACAAATTAACCATCGCATGAATGCAAACACTACATTAGATCCTACTGTTGCCATTCAGCTGGATTAGGGACAAAAATGGTGGTGTATGGTGAGTTAAACACACCATCGTCATCGACAATAACAGCATTGATGATGCCTGCAGAGCTCTGAGTCTCGCCACCAAAGTTAGCAGAGGACGGAGATAGAATGACTGCTTTGAGGCCAAATGCCCTGTCGGGGTTGACGTTCGCATTGCCGGTGATGGGGACGTTGGCACAGAGTCTGTGCCACTTGTTGCTTCCCACGGGGAACACAAGGGTGGTGGACAGTGGGGTGTAGTCTACATCAGGTGTGGCTGAGGAAATATGAAGAAAAATAGACACAATCTAGTAAAGGCTGAATAAATTATAATGCTGTAAATGTTATTTCCCACAAGTGCATTGGATATGCCTAGCATTTCCCCTCACCCATTTCGTATAAAGTGTCGTTTCTCTGGACTGTTGAGAGATGGACAGAAACTGAAGTGGCAAGAGTGTGGTTGGCATCGTAGGATCCCGTGTTTGCCAGCACGAGACACACTTCCAGGAAACCGGAACCTTCCAACGCCTCATAGACCAGTTTCCCCGGTGGTTGAGAAAAATCCACATGGATAGCTGTAGAAATGATTAGCGGATGGCAATTGTCGAAACAAAGAAATTCTAATTAGTAGGTATTTTTTTATATATGAATGGTTGAACTCACAGGAGTTGGGGCAGGCCAGTACAAGGTTGGGGCTGACGGTTGCTCCAGTTGCTGTATTGTCGGCTCGACCCCCGTGATGGTAGTAGCGCGCTCTACGGTTGTGGTACTCCGCGAAATTGGTGCAGTCCAGGTGGTTAGGGATTCTGACTGCATCTCCGCTCATCGCCCTTGCGATTGGCAAGCAGGCCTCCGTAGCTTCTCGGCAGACCTCTTGGCACGGTTGCACCACCAGCCCGGGGTTGTTTGGGAGTGAGCACGGAGGGAAGTAGTGGAAACAGAGCAGGGTGTAGAGCATCTGAGAGCAATAGTTCTCCATCTCCAACAGTCGCGAAAAGTCTGAAAACTCCTTCAGCGCGTGGTTCAGTCCCAGGCCTCTGGCGTTCGGGAACGTAGCGTACCATGTATTCTCCTCGGGCATATTGAAATGCCGGGCACACGTACGACTGGGTACAGGCTTGCATTGATGATAGGGGGTGTCCAGTTTGGGTGGCGTCGATTCGGGAGCCGGCATACTTATCACGACCGCAATCACGGCAGAAATTATAAGTGAGCTGTGCACCGGGGCATGCATATTCTTTTTCTCGCTATTGTTTGCTTTCGAGGTGTCGAAGCAGACAATCACAAATTTCGCGCGCTATTTTATACTGATCGTGCAATGGAGCACGTGAGCTCTGTGCGCGCCGAGCGGCGGCGCGGCATAATACGGTGAACATACGTACAAAAACAAAATGTGTATCATCTTTAAAGAGACATCTGTCACTGTGTGCAAACAATAAAAAAATAATAAGACAAAAATACTGGACTACACATCTGCAATGTCCATGGCCTGCACACGAGCCTCAATCTGTAGTTGGAATGGAGTCCGAGTCTCATCCAAGTCAAAGTCCTTGTTTCCAGTGTCTTTTCTCATCTTCTCCAATGATTCCAAGTAATCCTCCTGCACCCAACACACACGCACAATACAAATAAGCATGAAATTATTAAGAGTTGATGCCAAAGTTATCAAACTCCATCGACCTAAGGAAGCAGGGTCATTGCCTTACAGTGAATCATTATTTTAGCTGACTCTCTGCTATTGTACCAGACAAGAGCAAGTTTTGCTTACGGATGTGGGAGGACGAGAGACCCAAGCAGGTCGCGGTCTGTAGGCCGGGGAAGGCTTCACATGTGTCGAGGCATGCATGCTCCCGAGGGTCGTGGTCCGTCTGACCTCTTGCAGGTATTCAGCTGGTGTTGGTAGCCGTGGGGGCGGGGGCAGCGGGAGCAAAGGTGGACCCTGTCGGTGAATATCAATTGTGGTATGTTCCACCGTGTAACGTTATGTAAGGGAAATTCTTTTTTAGTTATAATCTGATGACACTACACATAAAAGGCATAATTATGCATAACACTTGGTTTAGAGTTTCACCTTTCAATGGGAACACAGACTGCTAATGTTTTTTGACACACAAGGATTTGCCAGACATTTTCCTCCGGGCTAGAGGGCTCGTGTTACACTGGAGATGGCTAAGCTAGACCCAACAGCTGGTGACTTGGTGAGTTAACCTGCCCAGTTTGTGTGGCATCTTCTCAATGTGAACACTGGACAACAGGCTAAAGTATTATATTAATCATGCGGCCAGTCTACTAGAATTGTCATGCTCACATACGTACAACTGTCTCTGATGACAAACACAGTCACATGTGATACTCTCGTACGTACATTCTTAAAGAAAACGATAGCATTTAATTGAGCGATTGAATTTTTATTTCCCCCAAAACACCCTCATATGTATAATGCTTACCCAGTGGCAATAAGCTGTCTGTACAAGTGTATTTAACCTAATAGCAGGACCAATACCTATCTACTTATGTGATCCGAAATGAATTTTCATTCATTTACCCCACCCTTGGGAAATGTTTTCCAGTTACAACAAGCCCCTCAGGCGAGAGGCTAGGAATCCACCCTCGCAGACAGAAATCCCGGTCGCAAATTGCTTCACTAATGAGCCAATGCCAACATGTGCCATAGACACTGACGCAAGCAGCTAAGTTGGGTATTGTTGGGTCACTGAGGAACACACTTTGGCCAAAATCGTTAACTAGACCTGAACCGCAAAGAGCATCATCGTGAATCACTGAAAGACGATATGGCTCTGTTGGTAGATATGCATGTTGATTGGTTGTGTACATAAACAGCTCAGGTATTTGCTTACATGAATTCTAAACTCTGGAGCTTCAAAATAAAAGTCCAGTGAGCATACACAGATGGACGCACAAGGGACGATTGAATTACGTTCTGCAGTGCATGATACTAATCAGAGTGTAGATGTGTGCCTATGGATTTGGTCTAACAGAGTTATGCATAGATTCATGGCACTTTCCATCTCCAAAATTGGTTATAGTTTTCATAAGAAATGTATGTTTCGCTTGACACAGGATTAGTGACAGCTAAACTTGGCCCGAGACTGTGCCTATGGACTTGGCATGTTGGCATGTTTTAATTGATGTACTACAACAGAGATGATGTCACTGACTGTTTGCCAGACCACTGATCAGCTGTGTAAGCAGCCCCAACCTGGATTACGTCAGTTGTAGTCACTGGGCTCTTCTATACTATACATACCACAATGCATACTTTAGGTGACTGCTTAGCATATTTGAAGCAATTATATTGTATGGTGCAGCCCACTTTATGCTAATACCGTCTCAAACCCCCATGAAACACAACCACTAAAAAACCACAGTACACTTGGAGAATGTATGAAGTGCAGGTAAGATTATACTGCCACATACTATGCCTCTGTAGTGACTACTGCAACATGCTGTCATGAATAGCATATTATTAGTGTAATAATACTCAAAAAGAGATCACACAGAGAAAAAGCAGCACAGCATGTGGTGATTGCCCAGTGCAGTTGACACACCAATGGAGAGCTAAACAGAGCTTTACTGCATTAACAATAGCTGGTAAATGATATCTCTCTGTAGCCATAGATACATAATCCAGGCTGCTTATCCTCCAAAGACCCTCCCCCCCTCTCTTAGCCCACAGCCCACTTCTCTATCTAATATGTATTTCTCTCATGAGACCTGTAGGCCCAGTTGAACTCTGGTTATAATAGACATGACCACTATAGAGGGTGTAATGTGAGATGGGGTACTTAGCCTGTACAAACGCTTTAGACTGGGCTGCTTACACAGCTGATCAGTTTACCACCAGATCAAATAACTTGACAGCCACGCAGGAACAGTAAAGTCCTCTTATCTCTAAAAACGTTCAGCCAGGCTATATATATATACAACTTACAGGGAGGATCTTTGGTAATGAGTCTTCCTTGTCTCCTTTCTTTTTCTTTCCCTTGCCACCTTTATCACCCTTGGTCCCTCCCTTGCCTCCCTTGCCTCCTTTGTTCTTGTCATCTATATACCATGAATAATGTGGAAAATTTTTATTTTGTATCAGACATACATATATAGTACATACTCAGTTGCAAGCAGGTAGCCCCTGCAGTGCTTGTTGAGGTATAACATGAACCCAAGCGTTTTAGAGGCTGCAAACAATCCTATGAGCTGAGAGATAGGGTTTCAAAAACACACCTGTCCAGCCAAGCCCTTGCTATATGTTTACGCCTCAAGGCAATGCTGCAGGCTCATGCATTTAACACAAGCAAGAACCAAGAGTCATACTGAAGATGGTATTACCCTTCTCATATATACTTGGATGGATTGCCAACAGATGTGTGGCATTCCTTGTTAATTGCGTGGGTCTAATGACTAACAACTGTGTGTCCAACAGCAGTTGCAACTGAAAGAGTGTTGCTTTGTATAAGATATGGCAGTGAGAATACCCTCTATAATTAATAGAACTCCCACACTTCTTTGAAAAGTTCAGTTGCTAATGGACGAAAAGTCTCCTGGAATGCAACCAAGCAACCCAGTTTTACTGTATTTTGTCTCAAGTACGGTCTGGTTTTCTAGCCCTGACTTCTAGACATCCTCTAGAATCGCCGGCAGCCACCATAGTGGTCTGAATCGCTCTTTAATCATGCCGGATTTGCTTGTGTGTGGGAATTTATCCAGTACATGACCATAATGGTACACACACACTATGGCTGCTACACCCTCAGTTCCGACCAGCTTCCTCCAATTGTGTATTGTGGTGATAACCAGCAAGCTGAACCTATTAACACTATTCTAGTACAATGGCCCTGGAGCTGCTAAGAGCTGTCCATAAGCAGTGTTGTGATGTGCAGTACCTTTCTTGACTACAGGTGGCAGAGTCTGAGCCTTGGCGTAGACTACTGCATAGATGAAGTCATCCCCCCAGTTCCTGGCCACATCCAGTGCAGAATGTCCATTCTTGTTCTCCTTCTGTACATTTGCACTGTGTGTGTGTGTGTGTGCGTATGTGTGTGTGTATTTGTGTGTGTGTGGAGGAGAAGAGGAAGAGATGGACTTCGTTTGAAGAGTGTGAAGTGGAATTGGAGGAAGTAAGAAGACTTTGGCCTTGGGTGTGGGAATTAAAAAAACCTTTCACCCTGACCACAGGAGGAGACCACTACACACCACAAAAGGAAATGGGAAAGCCTAGACCTTGAGCTTCTCTATTGTTTACGCATCTTTGATCCCTCCCTCCTGTTGCCCCCACAGCTGAGTCAGTGCAACCGCACTTGACTGGTGGTGTTTGGGGTGAGAGGGGCATGCATGCACATGCATGCATAGGGACATCAACACAGGAGGACACATTTCCTGGTCACATTGAGAGTTGCACTAATATGGCATAAACTAGTGGACACAATGGGATGCCCCTAGTTAAGTAAGGTATAAAAATCCCCCACCTGTAGTGGCTTATGATGTCACTATAGAGTGACAGAGAGACTTCCTAGGAAGAAGCTCTTTGATCCCTGGCAAGGATGATGGGTAACTTTGACAACCGGGAATGCAGCATGTCATATTGTAGTACATGCATGCTCCATGCATGCTCCCTTACCATTAAAGGTAAACCAAGTGCAGTACAAACCACAGCACTACGTATGATTGAAGTCCAATCACTATGACAATCTGGAAGCATGTGGGCGACATTCGGCCCTATTAGTAGAGTTCTATACAAACAGCTCTTGCTATCTTATGCTGTGATATACACCCACCCATGTGACTGACCCCCTCTCCAGAAGAAGTTTCACGATATTCTTCTGCGATGTTTCTATAGCCCGCATGAGAGGTGTTCCTCCGTTGCAGGACTGGGCGTCAATGTTGGCCCCGGCATCCAGCAGGAGTCTCACCAGTCCCTCCTGGGCACACATATTATTATACCCGACTTTTACACTGTAAAACTGATATAACACATTGACAAGAGCACTGTCACAAGAGGTACAATGTCAACAAAGGGTCCAAATGCAAGCCTGTGCACAGAGAAAGGTACAGTATATCCCATATTCTTGGCAATACAGGAACCGGAAACCCTGTTTTACTATTGAGATCACCGCATGTCTTTCGACGGCTTCTGGTAGTCTATAGTCGGCCGATAGAAGTTAATATATAGAGGAGCTGCCAGATCCTTTGAAATATTAGGTACGTACATACGTAGGCACACGTGGAGATGGTGAATTGTGCGGGTAACCATGGCGACGCTGCACCTGGGCTGGAAAAACGTGCAATGGGCCCACAGCCTGTGTCCATCCATCAATGGCTGCTGCTTTATGGCCAGAAGAATGCGGGACAGAATGTAAATATGTACTACAGATGATGAGCTATACCCGTGGGTAAAAGTCCGGTTGTACACACTTCAATGTGTGAGCCTTGCTTTGATGAGATTACGGGACACATCTGTTGCGCAATGTCTCGTAGCACATCCGTACACTGTATGGCTGGCTATATTGCGCTACAATTATAATGTAGGCAAACGCCAAGTGTGCAAGCAGAAGGGAGTGTTTGTTTATTGGGCTGATGAGTGTTCCCATCATTAGAATTTCATGAATCTGGATCCCATGTATACAACACAAAGAACCAACTACTGTTGAACTCTATTGGATATCGCTGTGCACACTACTGTATAAACACCTCTCGTATATTATGTACTCATCTTCTTTGTATTATAGTACCAACCTACTACGGTACTGCGTTCGAACATGAAGTATATACAGGTGTACGTATGGGAATATATATACCTGGCCAGAGTGCGCACAGTGATGGAGTGCAGTCCAACTAAAATTGTCTATGGCATTCACATCGGCCCTGTGAGTGAAAGGAAATACAGTGTACACATGTGCCTCACAGCAAGCAGGGCAAAGTGCTGTTTCCCTCTATATAGCAAACACAGCTGGCTCTATCACTCTTCCCACCGATGCATGCCTTAATGGAAAAGCATACGGTACACACTGACAATTGACCGACAAAGCACTTGGTTTTAGTTTCGCAGCCAGGAGTCGAATTCCACACTGTCTACGCAGCTACTTGTAATGGTACACCTGTAGAGCACGGACGGCCTCTTACCCTCTGTCCAGGAAGAACTTGGCGACATCTGGGCGACCGTGGGCACAGGCTATCATGAGAGGGGTTTTGTTGTACTTGTCCCTCGTGTCCACGGACATGCCGGCGTTGAGGGCCGTCTGGAGAGAACTCAAGTCACTGTGGCGTATTGCTTCATAGAGCTGCATGTACTGTCGTTCTAAGGGGAGAGTGTACGTTAGTGTAAGAGTGTGATGTGACTTATGCTATTTACCTTACACTACGTCATGTGGTGTTCTAAGGGGATGAGTGTAAGAGACTTGTGATGTATGCATGGACTTTATTTACACTATGTTGTGTGGTGTTCTAAGGGGAGTGTACGTTAGTGTAAGAGTGTGATGTGACTTATGCTATTTACCTTACACTACGTCATGTGGTGTTCTAAGGGGAGAGTGTACGTTAGTGTAAGAGTGTGATGTGACTTATGCACTGGTTTACATTATGTCGTGTGGCATTCTAAGGGAAGGGATGTTGTTTGATGTAAGTGTATTGCCTTATGGTTTAAGAACGTACATGTGTGTGTGTGTGTGGATTGATTACTACAGTCCATACATCTAGCCCACACAAAAGAGATCCAGAGACCTAGCTAATTCGAGGCGGGCAAAGACTATCTGTAACGTAGTGCGGCATGTGCACCATGTGAAAGTTGCTGGAAGAGAGACAGACAGATAACCAACGGTGCTTTGACTCAAACGGCAGTGTTTTATCTGGCATGGAATGAGATGGTTGTGAAGCTCTATCTATACCCAGTAGATCAACGGCGTCCCCGTGCATCAGCCCCCCAACGATATCTATTGTAAACAGCACTTAGGGGCGGCTTTGTTTCGTGACCCTACACGCGTGTTGTGTTGACTGCCCTCATTTACTGATTTATCCAAAACAGTCCCCTGTGCGTCCTTTGGCCGCGCGGGTTGAAAGCCGCCTTTCAAGCGGTCCTACCCCCTGGCTTCAGCCCTAGACCCCACGCCTGCGCCTGGACACCCTCCAAAATGAGTTATGACAGAGCAAACACTGCTACATTATTAATTTTGTTTTTTACACTGCCAAATGGCCCCGGTGAAAAACTGCTGTGCTATTATTATGTGCGAGTACGTGCAGAATGTAATTCATAGAAAGAGAGAGAGAGAGAGAGAGAGAGAGAGAGAGAGAGATGAAGTTACATACTTCCAATATTACAGTATAATTATAAATGGTACACATTAGGCATGTGGTAATACATTAAAGTTTTTGTACAGCTCTGTTTTAAAACATCCTCAAACGCCTTTAAAATATGTACTGGTCGGATATTAATACGTACATTAATGTGACACTGGCTTGTCACTGCTCGTGTACGTGACTCAGCATTGTGTGATTACGCAACTCTGCATCGCACGAGGCCGGACACACCTGGCTGTGGGCAGAGTACACCCAGTGCCAAGATGTTTTCCTGAAAATCCTCTCCACTTTATATAGGTTGTTCAGGACTTGCACTTTCCTTTGTAATGCAACTGGAACTTCTTGCACCATCACAACTATTTAACCCCATACGGAGCATTTGTTTTAACACACGTAGACAGGTGAACTAATTTTTGCACATGTATATAGATAGTTGAGCTAATTTTCGACATTCGTTTGTGGTCCTGATTGATTAGTGGCAAGTAAAACTCAGTCTGACTTCAGTCTAGTTTTATAACACAGTGTTGGACACTGACATCGTCCCTTGCTGTACATTCATAATATATCTAATACACCAGTAAAAATCTTATTTTTTAGTTTGAACTTTGATAATAATTGCAGATTAGACTTTTATTGTGTTTATAAACATACCGACAGACACAAAAGCCGAGCCCAAGTGGGGGAAAATGTATTTTATTTTTATGGTTCGACAATTAACATAGGTATTGCCTAACATGATAAAGAGATTCTGCCAAGTCTAGACAGTGGGTGAAGGGTGAACCAGATGCACCTTTCAACCTGCCCATCACACACACACACACACACACACACACACCAGGTGCACTCGACACAATTAATACTGTATATTCTGCACCTTTTGCAACACTGCCTGAAATTTGTTACGCTTGCCTCCCCCACCAAAGTGGAACCCGTGCCAACCTGACCCACTAAGGGTAAACAACAGGCTTCACTGAGGAGTGACCGTGCTTTAATCCACCTCCATTACACACATCTTTGCTTATCACAACACTTTTGAGAGATGCTCATCATTAGATGCCCTCGCTACCATTTTGGCAGTCCCGGTCACTAAAGAAGTATTATACCTGTAAAGGAGGCTGACTGAAAGTAAGTCTAGAGTTGCCTGAAGGGGTTGTGGGGATAAGCCACTACTCACTTTTCTACCCACAGTGACTGTAGTGTACTCACCACAAGCAACTTCCTTTATAGTTGGACAATAATACTCCACAGAGGTATCAATTGCAATGTTCCCACTGATCAAGTAAGAGAAGTAAACTTCAAAAGGTAGTAGAAGAAAGCTGAAACACACTGTCATAAATGATATAATCCTCAACAAACCTAACCTACGTACCTTGCTACACCTCTTTCCCCATGGATTAAGAAGCATAAATGACTGCTCTCTTTGATATTATTCACTCAACTCTTTCTTGCCTCACTTTCCCTCACTTTTCCTCAGCTCATGATAACAGTTTCATTTACAAATAAAAGTAGTGAATTTCAAAATGTAGAGCAGCCACAGTTTTTTTGTTGATTAGCACCATAATTCTTTAACTTTAGTAAATTTCTGGCAGTGAAGATAACCGAAGCAGGTTAGTAGATGTGTATCCACATGCTGCAAAATAGCAGTAACGTTGCATAAGTGAATACCAGCCACACCCAAAGAAGGTTGCTGGGTGAGGAGAGATCAAGCGAAAACAAGCGAAAGGCAATGCTCGAAATTCCAATGGCAGGCTGGACACTATTGATGAGAGTGATGTGGTCTGCTCTAAGTGGGTGGAATCCATGTCCAGCACACCACTATTGGAACTACTACATTATACCCAACTGCCTAAACCACAATAATAATGGCCGCTTACCTTCACAAGGGTAGCCATGCATGCTTAATGATAGTTTCCAGGTAACGGATGCAACCTTATTCCCCTATCGTAGCATGTACTACTGCCTAAAGTGTCCTCATGTATAGGTTACAGTGTAAAAGTGTAGCTTGTAGGTTCCATATATGGTAGTTCAAATTCCAACAGTTCCCACTGCATTTCCGCGTTCTGGTCTGCTGCATGAACCTCCCTGTGTTAGGAATTCAATTCGTGTGGATTCACCTAACTACCTCCTTAGCTTCCTAGCAACTTCATCGCGCAGCTGTGTCCTGTAGTCGAGCGTGAGCTAATGTGAGACTCTGCTGAGGCCAAGGGCTGGGTCAACTTGGGCGCTGAAAAATTCCACCTTGATTGCCACGCAAAATCTCACACATTGTAGCAACATGCCACAAATGTGTGTTATTGTTCGTTCTTCCATGTATGGGGCAGAGCAGGGGGTAAATAATTGGAACGCTGCGAATTTCTATTATCTGAGACATGTACGTAGCATGTGGCCACATTCAAGATGAAAGACCTTTGAACTCTCCTGATTATTATTAAATATACCTGGATGAATTAGGTACCATGCAGAATCATCCACATAGCGGTGCTGAGGCTGTGTAGGCAGCCCCGAAAACCTCTGCATGTCAGTCACATACTGCAAAAGGAAAAATTATGGTTGGTGAAATCTCAACTGTATCATTCATTAGGGTATACAACGGTTGGTGTTTAATAACCGGGCCCAAGCTGCCAAGTGCGTAAATGCAGCATCCGTACTGGTGTTTGCAAACCCGAGTTATCATTTGCATGCTTCTATAATACACAGTTCTACATGGAAGAGAAACCGCCACGCCTTCCGTAATACGCGCATTAGTCGCTATGTATGTTTAATCATGCCTAAAATTACCTGCACCTCAGGGTGCCCACTAGTAGACATGTAGCTACTAGTCATACTAACACCAACTAACCATCTCCTTTTCAATGACAGAGTCTGGGATGCCTGCTGTAGGCGGTCGTGCCTCTTCGTAGTAGATCGGACAAACTATCTTTGTCTTTCCTCCCTTCAGGATTCATCGATTTGAAAAAAAATCGTTTCCAAAAAATAATCGCCCACCTTTTTGCCTTTTCCCTTCTTCCCTCCTTTTTTGCCTTTCTTTCCCTGCATACAGCATGTATTTATGTCTAATTTTGACAGCATTTAATTATGTATGAATTCGACTGACCTTCTTTGCTTTGATGTCATCACCTGGACCAATTTTGTATTGCTGCATAAAAAATGTCCATATTTCAAGTGTGCACGAGTCCGTACTCTGCATTACTTACCGCATGAATGAACTTTTGTTCGGAGATGAAATCGTCGTAATTCATCACTCCCTCCCCTTTCTTGTCGTATATTGCCAGGAGACTTGTTAAACCCTCGGACTCCAGTGGAGCTCCCATTGTGTGTAGCACTGAAGTAAACGCTTCTGTGGTGATCACGCCTCCCTCGCCAGATTGCTGCTCACGACAGAGCTCCAAAAGCCGGGGTTTGTTCACTTGGGTCCAGTCGTACAGCTAAAAATAGAGAGGGGATATACATATATCGTGAAAGAAAAAAGATTCAAAAGTTTGGACAGACTATACCCCTGGTGGGACTCGAACCCACAATCCCTGGTTTAGGAGACCAGTGCCTTATCCATTAGGCCACAGGGGCTGGCTGTGTGTATTTGCTCATTTGTGTGTAGTTGGCCTTGTTCATCAGGCCACAGGGGCCAACTGGCTCATTACTCCAACTATTATTCACTCTGTCTAGCTTCCTCACCTGTATAGCCCATGGCTCAGCAGCTCCCTTTGGCTTAGCTCCACGAGCAATCTTGTCCTGGAAACTTGTCAGCTTTTTTAGTTCTTTCATGGCGTCTTTCATTCCTTCCTGCTTTGCCAATTTCTGGGGTGTCACCCCCTGTTCGTTCTCATCATTGGTTGGGGACCCTGAAGAGTAATATATGTAGTTGAATGCACCCCCATTGCTACCATACAAATCTAGAGGGACTAAGTACGTACCCCTCTGACCAAGCAGCCTCAGGACTATTAGATGATTGCTGCGAGTGGCGAAAAAGACTGCGTTCTCGTGGTGCGTGGTTGAAACTGTGAAGTCTGCTCCGTAAGCAGAGAGGACCTGGATTACCAGGAACTGACCCAGACTGGCTGCTCTGTGACATAAGATTCCATAACATGGTTAAAGAGGTGCAGAAATGGCATTTCATATGCAGATGCCACTGATTTTTAAAATAACTTATCCTGTTTTTTCAGTTCATAATTTTCAATTCCCACTCATTATTTGTCTACCTGTGTAGTGCACAGAGGCCTTCCTCTCCGTATGTGCCATTCTTGTCAATGCTGGGATGGCTCATGAGTAACCGAACACACTCCACGTGACCTCCTTCTGATGCCAGAACTAGTGCCGGTTTGCCTTCTCTCTGCACACGAAACAACAAGCATAATTATGTATATAGCGCTTGGAACGTACGTAGGTTAGCCTGCACGTTTCTCGTGAGAGCTGGACAGAACATATAGCTACTGTGATATATATAATCTCTATTTTTGACAAAACCAGCTCTGCCGGTATACGTACAGTCTTTTGTACTAGACTACACGTGTGATGAGGAATGAGTATGAGTAAGAGTACGTACAGTCATTACACATGGATAGTAATAGGCACAAATAGAATGCAATTGGGTCTTACTGGTTCCCTGGCATTTGGGTCGGCTCCCTTCTCCAGCAATCTCTCGAGATGTCTCTCCAGCCCCTCACTGCTTGCACCGCAGACAACAGGGAAACCATGTTCGTCCTAGAAGCATGAAATGTGAAGGAAATGTTAATGCCATTAAAAAAAGCAGTAGAACAGTTTTATTCAATGGGCAGGCATAAATGTCGGTGAAAATGATAGAAATACACGGACAGGAGGGAAAGAGAAAGAACTTTTGTCAGGAGTTATCAAACTCAGACGTCATGACTGGAAATCCAATACACAAGGCACTGAGCTACAGACAAAAGCCGGTCTTCCCCAATCCCTACTTATGAACATTTTTAATGGTCCCCAGGAGTCGGTACTAAGAAGGCTCCACTTTACCCTGGTGTTGGGGTCAGCTCCACACTCCAGGAGAAAGCCCAGGCACTTGGCATGTCGGTTGGTGGGATGGAAACAGTGGAACAGGGCCGGCTTTCCAGAATTGTCCGTCACTACATGAAGAGTAGAGCATTGAGGGGTCATGTAGTTTTATATATGAGACATAAGAACATGTTCTGGTGAACATGAAAAGTATGTTTATAGCATACTAACCACAGAGAATAGAAAAGAAAGAAAACCAGAAGTCACCCTCCACCCCCCATCCTCCACCAAAATACATACACAGACACAAACAACATGCATGCCGTCATGCAATATCCTCCATTCATTAAAGTTATCAAAAGGATGCGCCCCCCCTTCACCAGCCTACTGCAGCACTCATTTTATATATATATACTCTTTCATTATCTCATTTTCTCCCCACTTATCCCACTAGCTCCATTATCTCTCTTCATCCTCTCATTTGTTAAACTACATCTCAGCAACCATCTAAATATACATACCCTCCACTTCGTTTCTGACCATATGTTCATGCTACACCATTCATTTACCAACCAAAGTCATTAATTCACTCATCACCTCTATTTCCTACCCATCCCCTCTTTAGTAGTCTTTACCCTCTCTCCATCGTCACACTGTTTTCTCTCTCACCCACCTGCCATGTTCACTCCTCTTGTTGCCAGCGTCTCCAGTGCCTGCAGGTGTCCGTACTGGCAGGCCGTCATTAGAGGGGTCTTCCCCTCCAGGTCCTGGGTGCCCAGGGAAGCTCCCAGATCCAGCAACTGTGTCACCACGGCCTCGTCATTCCGAGTCACTGCCACATGCAGTGCACCCTCACCTGTTGCCGGATCTGTAAGGCAATGTATAAGGTTAGCATGATGCAATTTTCCAGTGCTTTATTGTATGTAGTTGCATGGTCCCTTCACCTTGATAGTTTATAAGCCCGGATATTCCATGCTGGACCAGTTTGGTGATCTGCGCCTTGTCTCCTGTGCGCACGCACTGCACCAACTTTCTCACTTGCAGAACCTCGAGCCTGTCGTGTGCCAGAGGCATGGCGGCGGCGGTTGGATTGCCTAGCATGCGCCCGGGGGCTAGGCTGGACGACGATCGCCGGAGGACAACACTCACGGAGCCCCTCGGGCTGTGTTTACGCTCTCCGCGCAGTTGCTCCGGTAACGCGATGAAATTGCGCATGCGCGCATGCCTCCCTCCCACTTTGTTTGGGTGCTGATCGCGCAGCGGCGAAGAAGCGCTCTGCAAAAAGACTTCGCAGGAGACATCCGAGGGCCGAAACCTACAGCAGTGGGTAACTTTAGTAGCGCCAGATCGTCAGTGAACCAAAGACCTATATCATAATTAGCGTAGTCTCCGAGCTATGGCCAGGTGTTTCTGCTGGTCTAGCTACACTCTCCCGGCCTACCTGTGGACGGTATTCTCCTTCTTTACGGCCGTCATCTGTCCCGTGGGGCTCTACTACTCCAACTGGCTGCAGAAAGTCACTCCAGAAGGGACGTATAACTCTCTATCTCCCTACAGACTCTGTCTCAATGAGACTGGCCAGTTCTCCACCTCCTGCCAGGCCTATTTCTCTTTCGACGAGATATATTCGTCCGAATGGAAGGCCATTACTCTTCTAATGGGTATCGGAGCCTGCTGCCTCATCTTTTCTGGAGTAATGTCCCTCTTTGGTCTGTGCATCAAGAAACTCTTCAACGTCTATGTGACAGCGTTGGTTGTTATCCTCCAGTGCTTGGGAGGTGAGATTGTATATACGTACATGAATTCCACTTCAGTTCTGCTCCATTATGGAAACTTAATATACTGGGGATAAGGGGAGCCACGAGTTTATAATAGGTTTATTTCTACTAGACTGTACTACATCATTGTAAGGTGTATTACAATTCTTAGAGATGTTGTTGATGTTTGTGTATGTGTCTTTGGCAAGTCACTGGAGATGGGTGTGGACGACTGACCACCCTTTGGCCAAGGGAGTTGTGGAATAGCACACAACAGTTTGATGTATTGTGCTCCTGGCTAGGGCTCTAGATAAGGGTTCCAATTTGATGTTTCAGCACGGAAACATGTTGGCTCTGTTTTGCTATTATAAGATCCACATGGGCACTAGGCATTATATATAGCTTAACTTTATCATTCTCATGAATTGAATGCCAAGAATTAAGCACCCCAAATTAAATAATTACCTCTAAACACATATGCTTCATTGCCAAGTACCCATATATTTTAGCCACTGTGTGAACCTGTTGGTATTTTGTCTAGCTGACAATAAACACTTCGTACCTCATATTGTACCCCCCAGTAAAAGTTCCCTCTGTAAACACACCATGTTGTTGCTTGAGAAGTGTGCCTTTTACATAACACTGTGCTATAACAGAAACTGCCAATAGGCAGTGACTTTTCAATACAAGTGTTAGTTGTGTGTCTAAACAGGTTAGCTACTACAATTTTCACTTTTGTTGGTGTAGGCTCATTACAATCTCTCTGGTCTTCTTTCCGTCCCCTCCAGTTGTGCTTTTCTTCATATCCATTGTTGTATTTCCTGCTGGCATCAACGACCATGCCAAACACCCTGAGCTGTGTGGGTCTGCAGCAGGCTCGTATCAACTGGGCGACTGCAGCATCGGCTGGGCCTACATCTTGACCATGGTCGGTACTGGGACTGGAGCAGTAGCTACCGGACTCTCCTGGACCGCTGGACGATTTAAAGAGAAACACAGAAGGGGTGGATACACTCTGTGATCTTTTTTATACCCTTTTTACCTTTTTTCGTTAACTACACATTAATGTTGCTTGCGTCCACGCGAATTTTGTACGCATGCGCAGATCATTGAAAATCGGGTGCGTGTGGACGATGGCCGGTTGCTGCACTCGCTGGACGCTGCCGATTCTTTTGTGGTCTCTCTTGTCGCTGGCATCGGCCGCTCTCTGCTCTCTGGGACTCTACTTCTCCAACTGGCTGCAGCGGGAGACGAAAGATGGCAACTTCAACTCCGTCTCTTCGTTCAGACTCTGTCTCAACGAGAGCACCCAGATCTCTGCGTCCTGCGACTCCTACTTCACGTTTGACGAGATCTTCTCCCTCGAGTGGCAGGCCGTGACAATACTGATGGGGCTGGGGGCCTGTCTGCTCGTGTTCACTGGTCTCATTTCCCTATTTACACTCTGTGCTCACAGATTTTGCAACAAGTGTCTCGTGTGCATGGTTGCTGTTTTGCAGTGCCTCGGAGGTATATAGCCAAGTTGCCCAGTTTAGTAGTGAAAGTAGGCACGATCTTATACCTCAGTGGGACATGATAGGCTACAGTAGAACATAGTGATTCTGTACTGAAAGTGTCTATAGAAATGCCTACTGTTAGATGGTCTAAAGCCTACATCTTGTGGTACAAAGTAGCTCTTTCACTCCACAATACCCAAGGGTACACCACTGTGTACCTCTCTAAAGCCAATACAAACAAACTGTATTGCTATTAAATGTATACACGGCCTAATATGCTCCATTAATTGCGTTACATGATTCATGGCCAGTGGTTTGTCCAGATATCAGCTTCATATATATCATGTGTGACCTAGAATATCGTGTTTGCTGTAACTCAAGTACCTAGCAGATTATTCTTGTAACTCTACAAACATGTTTAGCTTTCTATCTGTAAGTGTGCAGGCACACACTATCCAAATGCCCACTCTCACACCATTTTTATTTAACCCTCCATCTCCATTTCTCCACAGTATTGCTGTCTATAGCAGCAATAGTGGTATTCCCTTTCGGGATCGACAGTAAAATGGTCCAACACCCAGACCTTTGTGGAGAGAGTGCTGGCTCTTATGAACTCGGAGATTGCACAATTGGCTGGGCTTACATCACAGTCATTACAGGAACAACTCTTGGACTTGTGGCTGTTGCATTATCATGGACTCCAATGATGTGCAACAGAAAAAACAACGATGGAGGCTCATATGCTCTCTAGATTATCATATATAGCTGCAAGCATTCAACGCATTACTTGCTTACAATAATGTTTGTTGTAGTGACCTTTGTGTGCCATTTTGTCTCGTTGCTTTGTTAGAGTATCTATCAGAACGCCTGTGATAAAGAAACACACACACACACTTATGAAACACTAAACATTAGTAGCTTTGAAACGGTGAACTCTGCCGCTTCTTTGCTCAGCCAAGTTGGTCAAGCTGTTTCCTCCTCTGAGTTTGCCTTCTAAGTCATCCGAGAACTCGGCGCCGCTCGAGTAGATAGAAGCACCAAAGTGGTCCGCAGAGGAACTGTGGCGAACTCCTTTTCTCTCTCCCTCCATTAGGCGCCTGGTCAAGACGTTTCGTACTTGGACTGGGTTGTACTTTGGGTCGTCGAATTTGACCCTCAGACTCCGGCGATCTGCTATAGCACCCGAGCTGTTGTATTTCGGATCATCAAAGAGGCTGTCAGCAGACTGGGTTATGTCCTGCTTGCTATTCGGGGAGGGTGTGGCATAAGAAGGATCGTCAAAATGTGGAGTTTCAATTGCACTGTCAGTGCTGCTGGCCAGTTTCTTGGAGCCCCCACATGACTGTGTGCAGTAAGCAGGGTCATCAAATACGTGACACTCGGCTGAAGATTGCCTCTTATTTACGAAGGGCTGAGCGTAGTATTGGCCCTCTTCTGCTCTGTTTGAGTCACCACCAGCCCTTGCTTTCTTTGCGAGATGTTGGGGATGCATGTTTTCCTTTGGTATTTCAGAAGACATCCGTTGTGGAATCTTTGGGAGCTCTGATTGAAAGTCATGCTCCTTAGTTTTGTAAACAGTGGATTCCTCCGCTTTCTTCTGAAAGCACACTTGGGACCCATTTTCGTTGTTTGTCTTCACTGTTTTTTCCTTGTGCTGTTGTCGTGTTCCAGCTAACTGTGGCGTGTTTTGAGCATGAGGTGACTCGTGAAGAGCCCGATACACATGCTCCTTAAAGTCCTTTTGTGGCGTTTCACTATCTCTCCCTGCTCCTCTTGTCACGTGTGGAGAGAGCAGCAAAGATGAGGCCGATCTCTCCCTCTCTGGCATTCCTTCGTATATGGCCACCACCGAGCTCAGTTGTCTCTGAACAGATCTCAACTGGGGATGCTCGTTAGTTTCTGGGCTTCTTGCGTCCAACGCGGCACACGACTGTATTCTTTGGCGGCTTCGGGGTGGTTTAGGGGGAACAGAAGGTTGGGGGTTCACGGGGGATGGTTCACTGGTCTGTGGTACAGGTGTTGGACCTTCCAACACGTGGTAGATGGGCGGGTAGTTAGTGCTGCCTCCGAGTTGAGCTCCAAGAACCGCGGCTGCTTCTGGAGTAGTTGTAGTAGTTGGAGTGGTAACTGAATCGACTGAATCATACACATGCTCGGTACTGTCGCTAGCCGTGCTATCAGTAATCAGATGATTAGCTCCGGCTTTCAGGGGATTGGCGATGAGAACCTCGCTCCGTGCACGGAATTCTGCCGCTTTTCTCTTTATCATCGACTGGTGATGCAGCTGCAGTTGAAGCGGTGGTGGTTTCGTGCACACACCTCTCTCCCTAATCAACGGAAGCACTAACACAGGTCCTTCCTCTGATCTGTTTGTCGTTTCTTCTAAAGTCCTCTCCGGCATCATCAGCCTACTCTGTCTCAGACCCCCAATGTCACTCCCAGGAGGCCGTGAGTGAATGGCGTCCACCACTTCTGCATACTCTCCAAGAAGCAGAACCTGGTTCCTGTACCATACATAGAAAACTGTACTGAAGTCTCTTTACAAGATGGTTACATAACGTACTTGGCATCTTTTTCGTAATGATTGATCTGCTCTCCGAATTGAACTGATAGAAAAAGAGTTTAGTTGCTACATTCAAATGCTCAACAGTCTACCTGCTCTCCGCCGTTGCCGTTTCTTGCGCCACACGCAGCACAGAACTAGCACTGCTGCTAAAAGCAGGACCAGTGACACTCCCGTTACTCCTACCAAAGAGTAGCAGACAGTATCGTTGTCTTTGTCATCATCATCAAAGCAGCCCAGCGAGGACCCCATGATAATAATATACTCGAACTCCCAGCAAACGTTTTCTTATTCACTACGCCTTGCTCTATGCGCATGCGCTGTAGACGACGACAACCGGTTTTTCGCTAATATTGAAGTCTTTGTATAAACACTCGCACTCTCGAGAGTTGTGATACTCAACTCTGCGTATGATGTCTCTTTCTCTTGGGATTTATCTTGGGAACAACCGTCGTGTGTTCCGCTAGCGTTGAATTGAACGGTCTTTGAATACATGTGCTCGTAGTCGGTAATTCCAACCTCTTGGTACTGATTGTTTCTTTTGTCTTCTTCTCTACTAGTTTCCACTTGCTGGACGTGGTTGGTTACACGTTCAGCCGGCAGATGTACGTAGGTTTCGTTGTTCACTTCCAAATTGTCGCCAACTCCAGCGGTCCTTTGTATATCGTACCTCAATCTGTGTCTACCTGCTCTCCGCCGTTGCCGTTTCTTGCGCCACACGCAGCACAGAACTAGCACTGCTGCTAAAAGCAGGACCAGTGACACTCCCGTTACTCCTACCAAAGAGTAGCAGACAGTATCGTTGTCTTTGTCATCATCATCAAAGCAGCCCAGCGAGGACCCCATGATAATAATATACTCGAACTCCCAGCAAACGTTTTCTTACTCACTACGCCTTGCTCTATGCGCATGCGCTGTAGACGACGACAACCGGTTTTTCGCTAATATTATTATTACTTTTCTTTTAGAGAAGTCTTTGTATAAACACTCGCACTCTCGAGAGTTGTGATACTCAACTCTGCGTATGATGTCTCTTTCTCTTGGGATTTATCTTGGGAACAACCGTCGTGTGTTCCGCTAGCGTTGAATTGAACGGTCTTTGAATACATGTGCTCGTAGTCGGTAATTCCAACCTCTTGGTACTGATTGTTTCTTTTGTCTTCTTCTCTACTAGTTTCCACTTTCTGGACGTGGTTGGTTACACGTTCAGCCGGCAGATATACGTAGGCTTCGTTGTTCACTTCCAAATTTTCGCCGGATCTGCCGACTCCAGCGGTCCTTTGTATATCGTACCTCAACCTGTGTCTACCTGTAACCAGAGCGTTTTATTCATAGCTACCAGTAAAACTAATAGTGTCTTACGCCGCCTGAAGCACACGCAGCACAGAACTAGCCCTGCTGCAAACAGTAGAGTCATTGCCACTCCCGTTACTCCTACCAAAGAGTAGCAGACAGTATCGTTGTCTTTGTCATCATCATCAAAGCAGCCCAGCGAGGACCCCATGATAATCGATCGTCAAAAGTCGAAAAATCCACTTAGCTACGAATCTACAACTGGTGCGCGCCTCGCATTACATAAATTTGGAGTGATATGTGGCTATTGTCAACACATTTTGCACTGTCAAAAACTTTCTGTGTATCTTTTACTCTTGTTTTGGGGATAACTGTCGTTTTGTACACTCGTCATAATGGAGTAGGCCTTGAATAGATGTGCTCATAGTCCATAGTTCCCATATTTTTCGTTTTCTTCCCCTGATGGTTCGTCTGTTGACTGTTCTAGCAGGATCTCAAAAGATAAATAGGCGTTGTTGTGTATTATTTCCGAGGGTTGCTGCCTCTCACGTGGTCCTCCAAGTCCGCCGTCGTCTGCTGTCGTGGACGTCGGCTGAGCTAAAACAAAAAGGTAGCTTTGGTGCAGCGTCGATATAGCTATAGTCGTCATTTCACTTACCCGCTCTCCGACGCCGATTCGTGCAGCAAACACAGCACAGCACTACCGAAGCTGTAAGTATCAGAAATCAGGATAGTATTATATCACCGCTACTCCTACTATTAGTGTTCGCCAATTGTTTTTCTCAGAGACCCACGCATCGTCGTTTGCGCATGCGCGTCTAGGTCGAGTTACACTTTCAGTTTTTATTGCTCCCACCCTCTGTAAGCAAATGGAGAGGGGAGCTTAGCCCACATGCTGTGTATGTACATTGAAACACTAGACTCTACCATATTCCTCGGCCCTCTACCCATCATAATCATTGCCATGGTCCCTAGGCCATACTGGGAAGAAGGCATAGCTAGGGGAGGAATACTTGTAGCATTCTAGTATATCCAACCTCCATGATCAGTCAGTGTATGCTCCTTGTAGTGATCAGTAGTCTACTCTTCATTGACCAAGTCTCATAGTATTTCTACCTCTCTAAGCCCCTAGCTATAGCTACTCTTAGGCTACAGTACTGTAGAAGAGCAGAATCATTATACCTCTCTTTCGTTTGACTAGACAGCAGCAGACAAGGAGAAGAGCAATTGCTGTAGCTGTCAGGAGAAGCAAAAGGCTGCCTCCACTGGCTGAGATACATATCAAACCACAGGGCAGCTCGGATGTTGAGTTTGATGTAGAGTTGTACTCAAGCACTGTGCAGAGAAGACACTACACAATGCCCAGTCGATAATAGGTCTTTTACTGCTTACCAAACTCAGACCTATTCATTACTTGAGCTCTGTCCACGTCTACGATGCTATACTGGAAACGAATGCTGTATGTACGCTGCAAGCGTTTGTTTTTACTGGTTATGAAATCACCACTTTGGGCATTTTTGAAAGTATGGATATGAATAACATAGGGAGAGAATTCTATATTGTACACACCGATGACATCACCATTATTAGTCTTGATCATTGTCCACGTTTGTCGGTTTGATTATAAACACTTGACTCATTCAGCGTTGCACTACTTAATTTGGTGTACCGCTTTTCTTCTTTGCACGCTGGTGGACTAGGACTCTGCTCGCTGCTAAGAGGAAAAGTGGAAGGTTTTGAGTACATTTGTATGTAGTCAGGAGTTCCAATCTTCTGATAAGGCCCGTCTGTTTTTCCACTTCCTTCCTCCGCTGCTGGCTTCATTAATGTGTGGGCTGGAAGTGCGTCGTGTCGGTAGGCATAGCTGTACTCATTACGCTCTTGGTCTCCTGAAATAACGGCATAATGATGCTCTCTTGGATCAGTTTCATTCGTGCGGCCAGGCCAGGTTGGTTTAGAGTAGATTGTTGAGTTTCTTCTCAATGCCGTGCCACTTTTGTTGAGGCTGTCATCTTTGTCATGGTGCATCCCTGGGGCAATCACATAGGTTGGCGTTCTTCGTCTATACTTAACTAGAAATATGGATACAGTAAACAATGGTGTGAAGTTATTAACCTACCATTTTTTAAAGCTGATTGCTCTCTTTTTTCTCGTGCATCGTATGCCGAGTACGATTAAGACAGCAGTTGCAATAGCAGCGAGGATCAACAGACCAGCAACACCCAGAACTACATAGACGAAGTTCAGCGTGTTACTCTGCTCTTCGGTGGGTGTGCTAGGTGAGGATTGGGGAACAGTGGTCGAGTGTGGAGGGGAAGGAGAGGGTTGAGTGTATGCGGTTGAGTATGGAGTGTGAGGTGAAGGTTCCACGGTAGGTGAGCCCGCAGTTGAAGCAAAGAATGCCATACTCAGAGATGTAATATGGAACAAGGCATACGAAGGGCTCTTGAACTGATCGGGTGAAGTGGTGGAGATGGTATGAGTGACTACAGATGTAGTAGTTGGGTGAAATAAAAACTCTTGCGGGCACTGCCCTAGTTGCTGGATGGTATCGGCACAAGTCCATGTTGAGTGCTGGCCAAAAATGTCACAGTTCACCACCTGGTCGGGGAACAACTGTAGCCTTGTGCAAGCCGACGGCTGCAAGGCCTGCTGTACCATACCTGTGGTCTGATTGATGAGCACTAAACGACAGGCATAGTCTCCCTGGAGTGGAGCCTCAAAGTGGCTAATCTCTAGGTAGCTCACGTTGACTGTCAGGTTTTCCAGGTCATTTGGGCAAATCGATTCACGGTCGCAGACAGTGTTCACGTATTTAAATGGAGGAGAGTCCGCGACTTCAAATGCTGAATTTGATCCCCTCCCTTCTTCGTCAAGACTTCTCCAATACCACACGACATTGACCCTAGCACCTGGTGGTATAACATTGGGGATTGCGACCCAGCAGTTCAGGCGGGTCACAGTGATATTAGCTCGGCAGTTGAGCATCTCGGGCGGAGATCTATACTGATACCCAATCCCACACTCCTCTGGGCCTGCAGAAATGATTGTCGCGCGCATTTTACGCTGCGCAGTGTCGCGTGCATGCGCGGCTTGCTTACCCAAGAGCTGAGCTGTGGCCGCAGGCCCGTCACAAGCTGCAAACACGAGCAGAAACAGAAGCCTCCACATTGCAATTCCGGCCTCCAATCTTCCTTCAACGCTAACACGATAAACTCTAGCTACTGGATTTTTCATACCCCCTGCCTGCACAAGCAGTAAAAACACTGAGATGATGCAGCGAGATTAATGCATGATTACAGATAACTTGAAGACCAAGACAACTGTATTCACCACCTGGTGGGACTCTCACCAAGTGATTTCCTTGGTTAGAAAGCAGGTGATGAATACGTACAACAAAACTCCATGCAGCATAACAGTTCACAGGTCAGTGACTATGCAGGGGGATTTAGTCTTTGAGGTGGCCGAGTGTATAGTTGTGACATCACTGGTGGAGTTTGGAGTACATGTTGGTGTAGTCCATGCTGGTTGTGTTTAGGTGCTGGTAGGGACTGGAGTAGATCGGGTCTTCTTTCTGTAGTGTGCTGGAGGATTTACACCACTCAGACGCCAGCTGGGGGATAGGGTGGGTGCGGGTGAGGGTGCTGACTGGCGTGTACCGAGTATGGCCAGCAGAAGCCTCTTTATCCGAGCTGTTCTTGAATTGCTTCAAAACAATTGTGGTATCAGGCGTCCTTGGGTCTGTGCAGGGAAGATGTAGCCATTATCGTGCATGAAAAGAGTTAATTGTCATTACCTGCTCTCTTTCTTTTCCTCTTGATAAAGACACACACCAGCAAGAGTACTATGATTGCTACACACAGCAGAACCACTACGAATAAAACGACTTCCATCACTGTCCACTGCATCTTGATTGGAGGGGTCTTCCTCCCACTGGTATCGTGCAGAGTCACTGTAGGAGAAGGTCTCTGAACTGTGGCAAGCAGTTCTGGTGCCCTGCTGCCGTATGCATCCACATCCTCTGAATCTTCATTAGTAACTGTGGCTAGAGTCTGAGCGCATTTCCATTCGTCTTTGTGTTCTCCATACTCACAACCAATGAGCTTATCATCCACCCCAACACGACACTTATCGGATGGCAGCAGATTTCTCGCAGCAGCGTTTGACTCCTTTTCCTCAGCAATCTCCAACTGACACCAGTAGAAACCAGCATTTTTGCTGCTCAGTCCTGCCAGGGTCAATGTATAGATATGATGCAGCAGAACCGAGTTGTTGGTACACGAGTCCGTTTGCGAATGCAGTGCTCTCATGCGAGTATTGTTGGAGTCTCTGATGATGTAGGTAGAGTTGGATGTGTCCTGTGGGCTCCAGTACCACGTGACGTTGGTCTTAACACCGCAGGGAGCCTTCACCTGACACGCTGTTGAGAAATGGGTCCCATCTCTGCACACAATGCTCTCTGGCATGCTGTAGTACCACAGCGAGCAGTTCGCTGTATCTTTGGAAAAAAACATGTAGCTATCTATACTGATAGTAATATAATATAGTGCATAATTTGTATACGTCAACTCGTGCTGAAAGAAGCTCACCGTTTTCATCGTTTCCCTTTTGCCCACTTGCCAGTGATAGTGCCCCAAGAAAGAAAACGAAAATTAGTCCATGTGCTCTGGGTTGCATCTTTTCTATATACTATCAGCTCGTGTCCAACATGTTGGTGCCGGATTTATACTCATTTTTTACCTGCGTCCACGTGCCCTATTGTTCCAAACAAAAGCCCGCCGTTTCTACGCAACCTTTCGTTTGGAGATTTTACAAGTCAACACATGCGATTGAGACAAAACAGCAGATACCATAATGCATACCTCAGCTGCTCTTTGAATAAACAAATACTCGTTAGCTACAAAGTGAATTCACTACAAAACTCGCTAAAACAAAATGTGCCGTGGCTATTTTGGTTATGTGTCACACTGTGGGAGACTTCCTTCTTCTAGTTCTCCTCTGTTTACTGCAAACTGTGGTTCACACTGAGAATACTCTAATGCTTCAACTTCTCTTCCTTTGTTCACATCTTCTTTCTCTGTGGGTGTCCTGTTTCGGTTTTCGTCCCTTTCCTCCAAGGTGGGGTACTCATCGTTTCTTTCGTCACTGAGGGATCCCACAACAATCTCCTTTTCATCTGTTTCTGCTGTCATATCTGAAGAGGCAGCGTTGATACAGGTTTGTGAGGGCTTATCTTCCCTCTCGCAATCATCGACGTCCTTCTGAGAGCTCTCGGCTGTCCGTCCTTTTCCACTTGTCACCAGCTCTTCATCGCCTGATGTAGAAGGCTGGGACGAATGCTGCTGGGATGTATGCGGCTGTAATTTGAAGGCAGCGTCCCTTTTTGGGTTAATGTGGCTGTTCGAATCTTCTCCTGGCCGTTGAAAATGGTCTGCTAGTGCTCCTTCAGTTGTGGGAGTTTCTCTCCTGTGAGTTTCTTGGTCGTTGCTTCCGGACTTTGTCACAGGCTTGGATCTATAGTATTGCATTAAGATATATGTGACCGTGCACGCAAAAACCAACCTTACACCGCAATGTTAAATTATCGAGTACGCGTGATCTATAGTATTGCATTAAGATATATAGCTACTCTCTGTTTCTTATTGACTGACCTTTTAAATGTCGATGAGTCGTAGGCTGTATCCATGGTGTTGTCAAACATCTTTCTTTCTGGGTCCCTGGTCAAGGTAGGAGGAGTTACAGCGTTTGCTGACGGCAAACTGCTCTTCGACGGCTGAGTAGTGAGACGGCCATCAATCTGAGACATTCGACTACAAGAACAAATGGCTCAGTCGTGCAGTTGTGTAGCTATTATCATTAATGTCTCACAGATAGAGTTCAGCACTCCTGTCTCTAGTCATACCCGATCTTTTCAGAGTACCCCCTGCAACAAAGAGGATGATAAAGTCCCATTTTGTGCACAGTTTTTCTTACCTATTGCGTACTTAGTACCCCGAAAATGACGACGCCGTTTGTGCAACACAACTATGATTGCTATTAACGCTATGGCAACTGCAGCAAAAATGGCACACCCTCCCACACTACTACCCACTGCAGTATACAGGGATGTAGTGGAAGACTCCTCTCCAACTTCCAGTGATATTATTGGACGTGAGCCAGTGCTGGCTGAATTTTCAGTTGCTGTTCCCACCGTTGGATCAGTAGACATTGCTGTTGATTGAGTAACTATGTCCTCTGACCTTGCCGTGAGTGCTTGTGTGGGTGAGTGAGTTGTCATGTGACTGCTGGGCAGTGGCCGTGGGTGAGTTGTCATTTGTAGTGTCTCTGTCACCTCTACATTGCTCAGGTGCACAACAATAGAGGGTGACAGCACTGAATAAGGAGTGACTGTGGGCATACGTGCAATGGTGGGCTCTACTAAGGCAGTCTGAGTGGGTGACGTTGTTTGGTGCATTGAACTAGACGGGATAGGCTGTATTGTAATTGCAACTGTAGGTGTGATGACTTTGGGAGAAAACCTTGAATGGCTTTTGGAAAACAGTGAAAGCTCTGTGGACGTGACTCCAATACCAGTAGCCACTACACCTGACGTCACTGGGCCAAATAAGGATGTCTGTAAACTTGTTTGGGTGAGACTCTGAACTTGGAGTTGGCTCCCTAAATCCAGAGGAGTACACAGATTGTCCTTCACTCGATAACACACGTGGTCATAGATGAGGCTGAGGCTGAGATCTTGTAAACCAAACTGTTTTCTGAACTTGGAAGATGAGTAGACATGGGTTTGGTGTTATGGACGTAGGTGCTGTATGTGGTGGTCGGACATAACGTATCGATTGTCTCATCTCCACCGCTACCGGCATCGCTACCACTGCCACTAATGCCCTCTTCACCGCAGTCATTTTCAAGTGGTGCCAGGAGCCCACTGGATGCTGTATACAACAAAACATAATAACCTAGAATATCTGACACTGGTGCAAACACTCTGAGTTATTCCAGGATTATATTATGTAGGTTACTCACCAGCACAGTTGAGAAGTGTCAGCAGAAATATAAGCAAGGTCCTTTTCATAGCTCTCCCGGTTCCTCTCTCTTTCCTCATCTGCTGTTATTACCATGCACTACCTCACGCAGTCGTGGTCTGTACAACTACTCACCAACAACCAAGCTATAATGGTCTAGTACTTCTCTTGTTTATCACGGTTGCTAATGTACGTGCATAAACAAGTTATTGTTCTCAAAACAAACATGTACTATGTTGGCCTTCAAAATACTTCCATTTACTGAAAAAGCTGTTACAAAGGATAAGCAACTGAGTGGGAGGAAAACGAACTCACAGTGCCTTTCAAGTCACTGTAAACAGCCATATTGCAAATGTATCACTCACTACCTACTAAAAACAAAAAAGTTGCAAGAGTTTCTGGTGTTTCAGTAGGTGCTCTTCTTTTGGAACTCAGAGTCATTTAAATGAAGTGACCTTCTTGGCCTCTCCACAGCTCTTCTCCAACCACTCTGAGTAGGAATATACAGATATGTGTATTATATTCTCCTTGATAGAAACAAGGCAAGGTAGAAAGGCAAAGCAAACAAGTCAACTACACCCAGGACAACTTCTTTTCCAAGGAAAAAGGACTAGGCGGAATTCAAACACGACTCTGCTTTCTAGGCGAGCTCTCTACCAACTGAGCTACCAGCTAAAGCCAACACAACCCAAGGGAAAACCTCAAACCACTGTGGTAAACTCTCACTCAGTGTGCATACCACGTGGTGGCTCCAGAGTGAAGTAAACATGATCCCCGCCATCAGCTTGACTCGACTCTGCAACAGAGTGTACTGCTGGCTTACCTGTCCTGTATATAGTACAGTGATGGCTGTCATGGTTCTTACTAAGTCACCAACTCAAACTGTAAACCTGTTTCTGTGCCTGCCGTGTTCCTGGGGCAAGACGGATCTGCCACCTTTGTTGCGAGGGAGTTTGTGGTTAATGTGGTCCTGTGGGAGAGAGTAATCCTCCTCCATTTTGGTGGTCTGTTCACCACGGTCCAGCACGGGATAACTCGCCCTAGAACCAAAAGGAGTCGAGTAATCATGGACTGTGTTTGGGGTCTAGTGGGTTCGACTGGACCTGTGTGGGCCTGGCTTTAGCGGTGGGAGCACACACTTTCCATTCTGTCCCTGTGATCTTTTGTGTTTGATATGGGCATGTGGAACAGCGTACTCTTCCTCTATAGTTGTGGTCACTGTACAGAGTGATGCTGTTGATGGAGCAGACCTGTGCAATGCCCCTTTTAGCCGTCATAATTATAACATACTAATAAATAACTACCGTTGGCCTATGCGTTCATCTAGCTCCTTGGTGGTGAGGTGTGCTCTCTCATTTCTCAAACCTCTTCCCGGGGACTCATAGGGAGCTGCCACTAAAGGGCAATCACTGAAGGACAGATACATTTTTTGAGTGCTAGAAAGTATTACTACATACCTGTACACGTTGATTCTTCTTTCAACCAAGTCTCCTGTCCTCATAGGAAACATGTAATGGCAAGTGAAGTGAGCCTACTTAATCGTCTGAATGTGGGATTTTTTGTAGTCTATTTTGGTGTGTTTTTACCTTCTCTCTCTGAGTGTTGTTTCTTCTTCTTCTTCTTCTGGCAAAGTATGACACATTGCAATATGATGATCCCAGTGAGAATTAACAGTAGAGCAGTCCCTCCAGCACCCCCCACCAATACAAAGAGGTCTATTTGTTTCTCTCTTGGGGGCTCAGGTGAAGGTGACTATGTAACCATAATATTCCCAAATATACATGATCTATAGAAATCCAGGTTCACCATTGATGGAGTCTCTTGTTTTGTCATGGTTGCATATCTTAGAGTTGTTGTTCTAGACACAGTTATATGAGGTGATCTTCTACTGGACTAAAATAGCAGAGAAATATGAAGCATGAATCATACAAGTAGCTAAGCGTATAAAGCAAAAAAGCAAACAAATCACATCCCATAATCAACAACACTCAGGACAACACTTGCATGCATGTTTAACTGGGTGTGTGGGAAGTGAGAAAATGTGGCGATCTTTTCTAGATTATGCTAACCTCTGATAGAACAGCTGTGTTCTGTGACATAGTCACTGGCATTGTGGTTCCATGCCAACTGAAACTACCAGAAGGTGCTGCCATGGTCTAAAAGAGCATGCATGAAAATCGACAAGTATTTCCTGATTTGAGAACTTTGCTTGGTTGTGGTGTGAAATGCGACTGACCTGTGAGAGTGTCGTTGTCGATTCAGTCCACTGAAATAGGGGTACATTTGATTGGTCAATAGACAAATTTTTGACTGACTTTTGGTTCTCCACTTACTGTGATTGGTTGTAAAGATGATGACCCGATAATAACAGAGCTGGTTGGTGTTGGACCAGTAGATGTCAATGAGCAATTGCATTCTTCACAGGAAAGTAGGCATGAGTCTTTTTGGTATATTAGAGTAATTGTTTTCTGTCCAGTTGCAGTAGTGCAAAGAGTGCATGTAGGCTGAGATATGTTACCTTGACAGGTAATGGTTACAGCATCCTTGCTGGAAATCTCTTGGCACTTGGAAAACAGATAACGACAAATTTCGTCAGTTGGAAACATACAGTTGTCCTCTGGTTGTGAACTTGAGGGTGCACAGCTATTGTTAGCCTTCATAGCTAAAGCTATAGGCATGAGTAAGAGGTAGCAAATCATCACTTTCTTGAGAATCATGATCGGCACAAACTGCAGCATTTGACAAAACAGGTAGCTATAGTTTTCTCTACTCTGGTCCCTTGTGCAAGCGCAGGCTGTGTTTATTCTGAAAGTTTATGACATCAACCATTTGGAAAAGATGTGGAAGAAATACAGTAACACACACTTGTTTGTGCACATGTGAAAGGGAGGGATTTAGTGGCATTAGGGATAGTCTTATTCGCTGTTTGATTCCAGAGCTGGGATGTTATTTTTGTTCTTGTTCTCCACCTCTGAAATTGTGATTGAGGATTCAGTGAAAGGGGAATGGGATATGTCCTCCTTTTTCTCCATCCCTTATTAACCCTCTACGCGCATGCGCAGCGAGGGTTGCAGTAGTCGGTCTGTCTGTCTGTCTGTGTGTTGACGCTTATTCTGCCACTACAGGCTACGAGGCGATACCAGCGGCTTCAGAACTACGCGAGCCTGAAAAATAAAAAGGCGATTCTCCGAAACGACTGCGATAAGCCAATTAGCATAATCGCAATGGACTCAACCGCGACCTGATTCGCTCGCTCTGTGTACCTTGGAGGCTCTCAGGAAGTCACAACTAATGGCATGTATCGACTCCCCCATTCTATCTACTACTGCCCAGCCGTCAATTAGCAGTATCGCGCATGCGCAGTTCGCCGAGGGTTTGCACTTACTTTTCATTACTTTTGTTTTAGAGAAATCTTTGTATAAACATTCGCACTCTCGAGAGTTGTGATACTCAACTCTGCGTATGATGTCTCTTTCTCTTGGGATTTATCTTGGGAACAAACGTCATGTATTCCGCTGGGCGTGAATTGAACGGTCTTGAATACATGTGCTCGTAGTCGGAGGTGGTAATTCCAATCTCTTGGTACTGATTGTTTCTTTTGTCTTTTTCTCTACTAGTTTCCACTTGCTGGACCTGGTTTGTTGCACGTTCAGCCGGCATATATACGTAGGCTTCGTTGTTCACTTCCAAATTGTCGCCAACTCCAGCGGTCCTTTGTATATCGTACCTCAATCTGCGTCTACCTGTAACCAGAGTGTTTTATTCATAGCTACCAGTAAAACTAATAGTGTCTTACGCCGCCTGAAGCACATGGAACACAGAATTATAACTGCTGCAAACAGTAGAGTCATTGCCACTCCCGTTACTCCTACCAAACAGTAGCAGACAGTATCATTGTCTTTGTCATCACAAAAGCAGCCCAGCGAAGACCCCATGATAAACCGATCGCCAAGTGCACTTAGCTATCTAGCTACAACTTGTTGTTTCATCATAAGAAATATGTAACAGCGAGTGAAGTGAGCCTGCCTAGTCGTCTTAATGCTGGATTTTTTGTCGTCTATTTTGGTGCGTTTTACCTTCTCTCTCTGAGTGTTGTTTCTTTCTTCTTCTTTTCTGGCAAAGTATGACACATTGCAACCTATGATGATCCCAGTGAGAATAACAGTAGAGCAGTCCCTCCAGCACCCCCACCATACAAAGAGGTCTATGTTTCTCTCTTGGGGGCTCAGGTGAAGGTGACTATGTAACCATAATATTCCCACTATCATGATCTATAGAAAATCAGGTTCACCAGTGATGGAGTCTCTGTTTTGTCATGGTTGCATATCTTAGCGTTCGTTGTTCTAGACCACCGTTATATGAGGTGATCTCTACTGGACTAAAATAGCAGAGAGAAATAGGAAGCCTGAATCACACAAGTAGCTAAGCGTATAAAGCAAAAAAGCAAACAAATCACACTCCCATAATCACAACACCCTCAGGTACAACACTGCATGCATGTTTACTGGGTCTAGCACGTGCGGTGGTTCGTATTGGTTGGGGAAGCGGAAAGTGAGAAAATGTGGCGATCTTTTCTAGATTATGCTAACCTCTGATAGAACAGCTGGTTCTGTGGACCTAGTCACTGGCATTGTGGTCCATGCCAACTGAAACTACCAGAAGGTGCTTGCCAGGTCTAACGAGAATGCATGAAAATCGACAAGTATTTCCTGATGTGAGAACTTGCTGGTGTGTGGCTGTGAAGAAATCGCGGACTGACACTGTGAGAGTGACGTTGTCGATGCAGTCCACGGAAATAGGGGTACAGTTGATTGGTCAATAGAAAAATGACGACTTTGGTTCTCCACTTACTGTGATGGTGTAAAGAGGATTGATGACCCGATAAGATAATAACAGAGAAGCTGGTTGGGTTGGACCAGTAGATGTCAATGAGCAATTGCATTCTTCACAGGAAAGTACGGCATGAGTCGTTTTGGTATATATTAGAGTAATTGTTTCTGTCCAGGTGCAGTCGATGCAAAGAGTGGTGCAAAGAGCGCATGTAGGCTGAGATATGTACTGACACGGTAATGGTACAGCATCCTGCTGGAAATCTCTGGCACTTTCGAAAACAGATAACGACAAATTCGTCAGTTGGAAACATGACAGTTGTCTCCTTCTGCGTTGGAACTGAGGGTGCACAGCTATTGTTAGCTTCATAGCTAAAGCTATGAGCTGGTAACGAGGTAGCAAATCCTCAACTTCTTGAGAATCATGATCGGCACAACTGCAGCATTTGGCCAAAAACAGGTTAGCTATAGTTTTCTCTACTCTGAGTCCTGTGCAGCGCAGGCTGATTTATTCTGAAAGTTTATTACATCAAACCATTGGAACAGATGTAGCAGAAATACCTACACACACACACACATTTATTTGTGCACATGTGAAAGGGAGGGAAGGGACATAGTAATGGCATGATGGATAGTCTATTCAGCTGTTGATTCAGACTAGCTGGGGTGTGTTGCTTGCGTTCTGTTCGCCACTCTGAATGTGGTTGAGGATTTACGTGAGCGAATGGAGATCTCTCGTGGAGTCTCTAGGCTCATCCCTTTTCTTTTATAATGGCCGGCATTGATAAAATTGTCTGCTACGGCACGCAAAACGATTAGCACTGGTGGTTTCTGATTAACCTTCAATGTGCGATGTCTTGCTCCAAAACAGCATAGTTGTGTTGTTCTGCCATTACTGTCTGTGATCCAGTGACTCTGACTGCAGAGGGACACGGTAGCTTTTATTTGTTGGCTCACACCAAATCTCACGAAGTTTTGGTGTGACGTTGGGTGGCAACTGTGTCACTCACATAATGCTGTCACTGCATCATCTGGATGGCGCATAATCAGCCTCAGGGGAGGAGTTCTATTCGATGAGTAATCACTAAAGTTGCGTGTTTTTGGAGGTCGACTGACATTGATGCACTGAACTGTAGCACTTTCCCATGTATCTTCATGCCAGTTTAGTGCTACCCAACATTAGCGTCGAGACTCATCATGGACACCCTGTGTTCGAGAGAGAATGATGTATGTATCATAGCAGTCAGTATGAACTCACATGCAAGTATTTGTCTGCCTCTTCATAACAGGGCGACCAAGTCCTGATGGTTGCGCTACTTCATGTGGTTTTTCCTCTTGCAGTTCAGCATACTCGTGTCTTGTGGACTGCTCGTGCAGGACTATTCGCTAAGGCCGAAGCTCTCTGGGTAATAAATCATTATCACAGGGGGCAACTCAAACGTTCGAGCTGTTTACGACCTGTGTGTGTATGTTGTGTTATCATGTCTCGGTTTTGTGAAATCGTCTTCCGTTACTGTATTGACAGAAAAAAGTTGAGAAAAACACTTTCATTTTGGAAATGTGAGGTGACAGTGGACATTTTCCTTCATCGTTACTGTAGCGTACCTGGCTGGGTGTGTCCACGTCTTTTCCATACCAGTTTAATGATGAGAGCAACGAATATGGCAATAAGCACCAGCACTATCAGACTCCCAGTACACCACCTACTATTACTGCTTGATTAGTACGTTTTTGGTGGTGTTTGGTGGTGGTGATATTTTGGTCTGGAAATGATTGCTGAGACATTGGTGTTTGTGAAGTATGGTTGTGCGTCGATAGATGGCGCCTTGGAGGGG